GTTGAATGTTTCTGAGCACCTCCTCAGGGGAATCTGTGTTTTCCCTCTCACAGGTGAAGCTGCTCATCCCTGGCTCAAAGACCTTTTCTGTCCCAGGAGCATCATCTTTCTCAGCCTGCTGCCCAGCCTGGGGTTTCTTTTCATGTGCAGCTTTTTTCAAGTCCATAATAAAGCTGTCACTCTGGGAGTCTGCAGTCCCCAGTTGTTCCCCACTTTCCCACACATGTGTTTCTTGTACTCTTCTTTGGAAACCTGGTGTGGGCTCCACTAGAAATTCATTAATTTTTTCCTGAAGTGAGTCCTCTCTACAGACACTCATCTTTGACTCCTGAACTTCTTCAGCAGAATGTCCCTCTTCAGCAGATATCATTACACTGCCAAGGTCCCCATTAGGAGTTTGCAAATCAGCTGTTGTGGTTTCTCTTGGCTGTTCCTCTTCCTGGGCATCAACCTCCTCATGCTGCATCCTGTAGCTGTGACGCAGCTCCTCACTCAGAGACATCTCTTCCTCATGCGCATCACATTGGTGCACAGGGGAGATGACCCCGGTGATGATCTCCACACTTTCCAGTGCTATGGGGGTTTGTGCCTTTTCTGTGTACACAGTCTCTTCAGCCGGGAAAGACTCTGCAAACTTCTTCAGATCAAACACTATCTCAGTGTTAGGCTCAGGTGGCAACACCTGCTCTCTGAAATGCCCTTCTTCCATATGAACTTCAGTTTCCTCAGTAAAAACCTGACCTGAGTTTTCTATGCCAGGAGGAGTGGGGATTAGATCCAAAGAAGGCCTGCATGCATCAGAGTCCATTTTTTGCAGCACTTGCCTGTCACTTTGTATTTCCCAGTGTGTGGCATCACCATCAGCAATCACTTCTTCTTTACAAAGAAGCTTTACATCAGCTTTAATGTCTTGTTCAATTGTAACTGATGTCTCTTGTTCCTTGTCCAGTTCCTCCTGTTGCTCTCCTGCATAGAATTCATAAAAGCCAAACTCCTCCTTTGTGGGGGTGCTTGCAATGTGGTCCTGCAGGTGGGGCACACTTGGCTCTTCCACAAGAGGCACATCAGGAGTCATTGCCTCCCAGGCAGGGGCATCACACTCCGTGCAGACATCACTTCTGTCTTGCACCACAGGTGATATAGGAATGAAAAATTGTGAAACCTTACACTCCTCTGCCAAAGCAGACTGCTCAGGGGCATGTGCTTGCCCTTGCTCTTCCATAAACAATGAATCCTTACACTCCCCTGCCAGAGCAGACTGCTCAGGGGCATGTGCTTGCCCTTGCTCTTCCATAAATGATAAATCCTTACCTTCTCTGGCCAGAGCAAACTGCTCAGGAGCATGTGTTTGTTCTTGCTCTTCCATAAATGATATATCCTTACCTTCTCTGGCCAGAGCAAACTGCTCAGAGGCATATGTTTGTTCTTTCACTTCCATAAATGATAAATCCTTCCACTCCCCTGCCACATCAGATGGCTCAGAGGCACGTGTTTGCCCTTGCACCTCCTTAAATGATAAATCCTTACACTCCCCTGCCACAGCAGACTGCTCAGGGGCACATGTTTGCCCTTGCATTTCCATAAATGGTGACTTCAAGATGTCCCAGGACAGAATATCTGTATGCGGTAGCACCTTGCCTTCTTCAGGCTCCAGCTCCTCAGAGAAGTGACCTGAGTCCTTGGCCACCAGTTCACATCCTTCCCTGGATATGGTAGGGTGCAATTCAGTGGTATCAATTCCAAAGCTGTGTTCCTCAGAGACAGCTTTTCCCCTGTGCTGCCTCATTTCAGAAATACCATCTGTATAACTCACCCGTTCTTCTGCATTGCCCATTTCTCGCCTTGCATAAACTTCTGTGATATCCAGAACCATTGTTTCCTCCATCTCACTTTCCCTGATGTGAGGCGTTTCCTCACAATCTTCCAACTGCTCACCAGGAGGTGGAGACAACCTCAGGGACCAAGGTAGGTGAGCTTCCTCCTCCTTGGAACATGCAATTTGTTCCTCTTCATTCTTCCCAAGTATGCTGAGGCCTTGGAGGTGCAGAACATGGTCCATGGAAGGCAGTTCTTCAGTGCCTCCACCCTTGCTATACAGCTTGGGTGCCCTGGGCTGCACTGTCAGCTCAGAGGTAGTCTGTGCTGTTCCAGCCACGTTTGTGGCCACACAACAATACCGCCCAGCGTCTGTGACAGAGACTTCTTGAAGGTGTAAACGGTACATGCCATTCTTGCCTTCTTCAAACCTCAGTCTCCCACTAGGAGACAGGCTCTGGCCGTTCAAGGACCAGCTCACAACTGGTGGGGGCTGTCCAGACACAGCACACTCCAGCACCACTTCCTCTCCTTCATGGCAATGAATATTTGCTGGGGCTTCTGTCACAATTTGGGGTGGTTCATTCCCCATATCAAATGAAAACTTAAATCTGTGCCTTATGGTGGAAGCAGCCCGCTCTGGAGAGAGTCGTGGGGTCTCCTTCATCTCCGTGTCTTGCTCTGGCGTTGGAGTGGGAGCAGTGATTTTGATTTCCACAGGCAACGACAGCAAGTCTGAGTCTGGAACTGCATTTGGCAGTCCCTTCTCTGCTGCAAAGACCTGACCAACTTCTTCCACCTCCTCCTTTACTTTCTCCTCTTCCTTCTTCTCTTTCTCCCTTTCTTCCTCCTTCATCTTCTCCTCCTCTTTCTTCTCCTCCACTTTCATTTCCTCCTTTTCCTTCTTCATGTACATATAGGCTGGCATTTGCTGCCTCACATGGAGTCCGGCTGAGCTGCTGACCGTGCCCAGTGGGTTGAAGATCACACAGGTGACAGTGCCACCGTGCTGTGGGAGCACAGATGGGAAGGTCAGTGTGGAGCAGCACCCGGAGGTGTGAACAGCAGTGCCCTGGATGCGCCCCACGGGCTTGTCGTTGTTGTACCAAGTGACGGTGGGCTGTGGGCGGCCGTGGAAGAGGCAGGAGAAAGTGCATCTTTGCCCCTCAACAGTTTCCTGGGGCTTGATCTGCTGTACAAAGAGGGGTGGGCAGGGCTCCAGGAGCCCACCTTGCACCTGCCATCTCTCCCCCAGGGCCTTGGGCCTGGAGTATTGCTTCACTACCTGCACTGTGAGGGGCTTGGAGCCAACCATTTTAGCAGCCACCTTAAGTGGGCCCGGCTTCCCAGGAGGGCCCTCCCGGGGCGCGGACATGAGGGATTCCTGCTTCTTTTTCAGTGCCGCCCTCTTTGCTTCCCGCAGCCTCTGCAGCTTCCAGCGAGTCTCCTCATCCAGCAGCTCCTCAGCATTAGCCACCGTGCCCCTGTGCTCCCTGCCGTGCGCCAGCCCTGGCCGGCAGGGCCCAGCCAGCGGCAGGCTCTGGAAGCGGATGGTCCGTACCATGGCCCGGCCCGGTGAGAGGTGCCCGGGCTCAGCCTCCTGCCCCTTGTCGAAGGGTGAGCCAGTGCAGCGGAGCACCACCCGCAGCCGGTCCTCCCGCCGCTGCTGCAGCAGGCACTCCCAGCTCTGCCGCATCCACTCTGCCTTCCCGGCGAGACCCGAGCCCCGCCGCTCGCCTCTGCGAGCCACCAGCAGTGAGGCGGTGGACTCGGCCGAGCCCTCAGTGTTAATGGCAAATAGCCGGTAGCTGCCCGCGTCGCGCTCCCGCACGTCCCGCAGCTCCAGGCTGGCGCAGTGCGTGTGCTCCGTGCTCTCGGTGCGAATCACCTTGCGGCGGTCCTGCAGGACGGGCCGGTTGTTGTGGAACCAGGCCATGTGTGGTGCTGGGCGTGCCACCAGCTTGCACAGGAAGAATGCCGGGTCCCCCTCCAAGACAGACCTACACTTCAGTCCCTGTGTGAAGATGGGTTTACGGTTCTGGGGGCAAGCCAGCACCGACGCTGTGCCGCGTCCCGCGAAGTCCACCACGCCGTGCTGCTCTGCAAGAGAAGGAGACTGGGTTACCACATGTCACGCTCTGCCTACCGCCTGGTTGTAAAAAAGTACAAATATATGAATATAAAAATAAAAAAATGGGCATGCAACAGATTTCATCACACACCCAGGAAAAAAAAGTAATTCACTCACCATATTTGTTCGAATAAACGCAACGCCTTGCTCTGTTTTAAAGATTGACACGAAAATCGGTCGTTGTCTGTTCTTTCTTCAGACTGAGGAAATTTCTTCTTGAACAAGCAAAAAAAGAATTTCAAAATAACATGTTCTTCTGCGTGTATGTTTTTGTTGCCTGGAAAAGCTGTGTGTCTTTGGGTGGCAAAGAAGAAAATCTTACCTGACTTGCAGACAGTAGAATAAACGCCCTTTCTGACCCCTCTGTTTGTAGTTATGTTCAAACAATTGAAGAAAAATAGTTTGAAATATATTTTTTTTTAAAAAGTAAGTAACATGAAATGAGAAGGCGTTTATTCGAACTAATACAGCCACTAACTTCACAGTGTTATGCACGGGGGGAAAAAGCAAGCAACATGAACCACATATGCTATCTGCAAGCCAGGGTAAGAGATGTATAATGATGAATTAATGTATGTAAAAAAAAGTGCAAGGAATCAATGGGAATGTGTAGCTTTCACATAACCTAAACAATGAATGCTGTCTAGTATACTTCATCTATCCATCCAATAGTGTCCATTGAATCAATTAATGTTAGGCTGCGAACTTGTTTAAAAGTAATACAATTAAGATTTCTATAACTTCCTTCTCAAGTAAACTATTCCATGCATTCAAAAGGAAATTGAACATATAAGAGCTCTGTGAACAGCTGCAAAGCATGAAGTAAAAGTTAAAAATATGGCTGCACAATTATAGATTTGAAGTTTTAAACATATTTTAAAACTTAAATAACTTTATAATGCAGGTAACCCTTCGCATATCAAAACAAACATGCAACATGTTCCAATATGCTTTAAAGTATGTCTTTCCCCATCAGACACTTTATAGAAGCTGATAAAATCGTTTCACAACATTAATAATTACTGGTACTAATTATTCTCATTGGTGATTGTACCTTTCACTTCCATTTCAACCTCTTCCTCTAGCTTCTCATGAACAATTTTTTCAGCAGCTAGAATAAAAAAAGACAAAGATTTTTGAGCTATAGTTGTTAAATGCGCCAATCAGCACTTTATATAGCATATAGTAAAAACATCCAATCTGTTTTGCAAATAGACATAAATCCACATGTACATACACACACATAAATGCATGCCAAACAATTCAAACACTTGATAAATTTTGAGAATAATCAAATATTTTCAAACTTGTTTGCAATGTACATTTTTCTATAAGATTTGCTTTCTTTTTGCAGGGTGGGGAAAAGTTCCTAAAATAACATGCCTTTATCATGCTGTAAATCCCTGAAGAAAACATTCAGCAATACACAGACTAATGAGATACTTCTCGTTCTTTATCATCTCCTAGGGAATGAATATAGTGGAATGCAATTATGATGCTATGCATGAGGAATTGATACTTGGAAGGAACATGCAGTTGCCAACCTGTCACTTTCAGATGGGTGCTGCACTCGGCTTGTCCTGCAGGGTTAACTATTCTGCACTTGTATATACCCTCGTGGTCCTGACCAACTTTCAACAATCTTAAACTGCACAGTGGCCCATCATGTTTTATGGAACACAGTGCAGACTCCTCAACTATTAGCTGGTTGCACAGCCAGACTATGCAAGGTGTAGGCACACCTTTCATTATGCAAAAGAGAAACACATCATCTCCTTCTTTTACAGTAGTTTCTGAAGGCAGAGTTTCAAGAAACTCTGGTGCTTTGGCGTCAGTTTCTGTGATGTCTTCACAGGGCACAACATCAGGATAGTAAACTCTGTTTCTTTGCTTCTCAGTTTCATGTGGTCTTTGGGATGTAGATATAAACAAGCTGGAGGTTTTCTTTGAAGATTCTTGCTTAACTTCAGGTGCTTTAAACAGACAATCTTTGGCTGCTTTAAAGCTTTTAGTATCTGATTCAAGAGTAATTTTTGTTACTGCTTTGGCTTGTGCTTCTTTTGCTAGGTAAGAATAAAGTTAGGAAAAGGATTAGGTCAAATGTTTTGCAGGAATTTAAAAAAATCCTTCTACTTATGGGGAGAAAACCCAGTAATTAGTATTGACAAAATATGCTGTATATTAGTGCTAAAACAGTGCTATTAAACATGAGTGCATATTTAAGAGCTCTATTCCTGTTAGGCTAATTCTAGGTACCAGTTAAGTCTGTGGGTCTTTCACGTGACCGAGTCTTGATCCACAGTGACTGAAAAAACCCCACATCTTTGCTTCTAATTTAGAGCCTTAATTTGGAATGTAGCAGCAGTATGTAAAGTGCTTTTAACAGCTCTATAGTGAAGAAAGAAATTTCAATAATTGAGGGCCAAATCAACAGGGTCAATGCCTTTCTTATTATTCATCTTAATTTTCTGGTCTTGATTCCTTTGAACTCATCAGAAACACTATCACCTGTGGTGAAAATACATTTTTGTGTCTTCACTAGTGGTAACACTACTAACATTTTAATACATGGATGTCAGGAAGTGATAGAAGGAGTTTAAGCAAAAAGTAAACACATATGTTTGGAAGGGTGAAAGGTAGAGGACAGTTCATTATTGCAGTAATGCAATACTTGCACCCATTAATCCTTTAAAGAACATTAACTTACACTGCTAGCTTTGGAATTGCAATCTTGGATTTGTTGCAAACATTCTGGAGTTTGAAATGACCTGGTATCTAATTTGAAATTTCATCTGAAATTATTTTCTTCCTTAAACTCTTGCTTCAGGAATTAAAAAAATATTAAAATTCCTGCAAGCCTGTTTTGCTTTTCATCTCACTGCATGTCACAAAGGATATGAGGAATAAAAAGCCTGAGACATCTGTGACATTTTGGGAAGAAGCACAAAGTTACAGTACCAACTTCCCAATACTGCTCATGTCACTTATGAATAGAGCTGTAAATGTGGAGGAAAAAACCCAGAGAATTATTACTAGAGCTTTCTCAATTAAATACTGATAATAAAGGTAATATGAGTGAGCTCTAGGCAGTTATAATGAAGATGCAAAAGGTAAGTGATAATGTTAAAAGTCAGATAACCACCTTTGACTGTTAGTATTGCAGAAGTTGTTGTCCCTCCATAGTCATTATACACAGTACAACTGTACAGTCCTTGATCTGTCAGCTGGGCATTTAGGATTGTGAGCAGAAGAACATTTCCATTTTGTGATATCTTCAATTTTTCAGACAATTCTATCTTTTCACCTTCATGGGCCCAAAGAAAGTCAAAGAATTCATTTTCTAAAGCACATATGAACTGAGCAGTGTCACCACATTTCACAGTTAGGTCTCTGAGTTGCAAGAGAATCTTTGGAGAGACATCTTTCTCTTCCTGAGAAGTCGTCATAGAGATTTTGGTGCTCTGAGATGTTTGGGAGAGGACTGATGTGTGCACTGCTTTAATTTCTTCAATTGATGTAGCCTTCATGGTCAAACTTTCTGATACAGTTTCAAAAACCTGTACATGTAATTCCTGTGGTGGTTGTTGCATTGATTTAAATTCTTTTTGATAAGATTCAATGTTCTTCTTTGTGAAAGGAGAAACATGAAGTTCTGATATAGCCTGTGACCGGATAGACTCTTTTACATCTTTCCCAGAACTTTGCCTATCTAGGGCTTGCACTGTGTAATCAAGTAACAAAAACAACAACATTAGTATCTAAAGAACTTTACTGGGCCATGCTCTGAACAAAATCAAACAGCATGGAGGATGAAAATGAATGATTTTCACTTGAAAACAGAGCATGCCAGACATACTACTCTGTTGACACAGAAGTTATCCATTCACATGAATGAATGACAAGTGATGCCTAAGCCAGTCATGCAGTTGATGCTCAGTTGGTGCTTGTCTTTTCTTTCACTAAAGTGGTCCATTTTAGTGTTGGAAACTTACGGTATTTTTAAAGTAGGTATTTTCTTTTTTATCTTTTTTTTTTTTTTTTTCCCTACAGAATAGTGCAAAATACCTCAGTTACTGCTATAAAGATCACTAAATAATTTGTTTTAAAATCCTGAATGCCTTCATTAAACATTTCTATTCTTTGACCTATATTGAGATACAAACTTGAAAATTTCCAAATGTTACATCTTAAAAGACAAGAAATGAGAAATGAGAGTGGCTGGGTTACCGAGGTACTGAGGGTACTATTAAAGTTAGGTGGGAATGAAAAGGTGTGAAACAAGGAAAAAATTAGTAACAGCATAGTGTGGTATGCAACAAATTGAATCCCTTTGAAGTAAAAATGGGGCTTTACCTTCTGCAGTCACTGTAAGTGTAGCTGTACAAGTTGTTTCTCCAGCACTATTTCTTGCATTGCAAGAGTATTGGCCAGCATGTTCTAAGAAAGCATCTACTATTATGAGTATAGCTGTGCCTGTAGACTCGTCAAAGTGGAAAACTAAGTCTTTTTTTGGCAACATGAGTTGTTGGTTATGAAACCACTGGATTTTTGGTTTGGGCCTGCCAGAGACTCTAGCTTGAAATCTGACTGATTCCCCGCTGCATACCCTGCAGCTTGAAATAGGCTGGATAAAGGTGGGCCTTTGGCCAACAGATTCCTCCTTAAGTGAAACAGATGAAGAAACATGCCAAGGGGACTCTGATGTAACTTCTTCAACCTTTTTAAATCCTGAAAAGAAGCATGCCAACTTTTAATTTCTTACCCTACACTACAGTGAATTTTCTCTCTCATTCAAGATTTTTTTCTAACTTGCAACTTAACAGCATGAATTATTTTCATTCATCATTTATAAAATATATTGCAAAAAGAAAACAAAATATTCATGGTTAAATAATATCAAGGACAATATAGAACAGCAAATTCTCCAAACAGTATTTCTGCTCTAAAACTTTGATCAGTGTTTTATCAATTCCTATGAATGTCAAGTATTTCCCTTCAGTTGCCCAAGTATCTGTTACATACCTCTATTTGAGACGTTTTTCAAAACTTTCAAAGTAGTTTATTTTATACAAAAACTCGTACTAGATTGTCTTCACAAGGCAAATCAAAGAATGTGTAAACAAAAAACTTGCATTAGAAAGAAGGTTTTTACCATCTTTGATGCATGACAGATTCTAAGACTGAAGTAAATGAAAAGGGGGCATGGAACATGAAAAAATCTTGAAATACATTTTTCTGTTCACGACACATTTTAGAGACATAAGTGTATGCTGTGGACATTGTAAATGAAAGCAATTAATTGAATTAAAAGACAACATGATAGACAACAACTCACATATAAGTATCAGTGTATATTAAGATGATTATTGGAACATGACCTGAACAAGGCAACTTCTTTAATTGCACAGTGTACCTTCTAACTTCAAGGTAGCAGTGCTGGTCACTTGGCCTACAGAATTACTCGCCACAAAGGTATAGATTCCTTCATCCTCTGGGTAAGCTTCAGCAATCTCTAGCTGGTAGGTGTCTTCAAACTGAGTCATTCTAAAAAACCTCGATGGCTTGATCTCCTTCTCTTTGCTGTACCAAGACACTTTCAGATCTGCTCAGGCAAAAGAAAGGAAAAGAAAAAAAGGTGCAAGTTATGATATTGTACTAGGAAGTCAGAACTATTTTATATTTATATCTTTCTAAAATCTTAGACTCAAACATCTAAATTTAAATGTGCCTTGTATTATTCTGGTAAAGTATGATGAGTGTAAAGTGACATAATTGTTGCTTTAGGCTTTGATTTGTGTCCTGGAAATATTTATATGGGAAAACTGATTCTGGTGCTGACATAGTATTGAGTAAAAATCATTCTTCCATAACTCTGTTAGTGTAAAAAATTAAAAATATTTTTGTACTACCAAAATTAGAGAAAGTGTCTTTTTAAAAATGTTATTTTCCCACAGTTGCATGATTAAACAGGCTATAAAATATCTATCTTGAGCTAGTCAGGTAAAGAAATTAAACCAGAATGTTCTTCTGCTAAGCACAGTACCTTTCCTCTTTTTGTTGCAAATATTACTTGTCATATTTCTCAAGAAAGATTTATATATTCCTTTATCAAATGTTGTATAGATTCTTGTAGATTTAGGAGAGAAGTGAAGCATCTAGAGAATTTAACTTTTTCTCTCCACCTGTCACAATACTACATCATGAATCATATGTTGTTACTCAAATGGTGTGCTATTACTATTACCAGAAACATGTTTTTAATAGCCAGCTGCATAATGTGTACCATTAAAACTGTGCTTGCAATCATGAGTTACCTAACCTAATAGAAAAGGTTTTTATAACACAAGTGAAAGGCATGCAAATCTGTTTGGATAGTGTATTTGAAAAAGGAAATTTTCTATAGGAAAAATTTCTTCATTGCAAGGGTTGTCAAGCATTGGAACAGGCTGCCCAGTGAAGTGGTAGAGCCACAGACCCTGGAGATATTTAAAAGCCATGTAGATGTGGTAATTAGGGACATGGTTTATTTTTGGACCTGGCAGTTCTGGGTTAACAGTTGGGCTTGATGATCTTTGAGGTCTTTTCTCACCTACAATGGGTGACCTAGATGAAATCCTTACTTTCTGTGCTGTAAATGCAGCTTCTGCATTCACATACAGTTCTGTTAAAACAAGTTATACTAGCATGCATTGCACCAAGTATTGGTGCCAGTATTTCCAACATCTATTTTCTGAGTTCTAGCAGCACTTCTAAAGCAGAATCAGGTTTGTTGCAAATCTTTTTAAAAAAAACCCCAAAAATCAACTGGAGTTTTATTTCAAGGGACGGTAATGCAAATTATATATATTTGCATATACATGTGTGTAACCAGTTAATATTATTTTTTATAGAGCTGTCACACAGGATTATTTTAAGTTTGGAATTTTGTTTATCATGAAATAATTTTAAATTCTTTGGGGTGTCAACTGGATCTTACTCTGCAGTTTATGTGAATAATTTCTTAGTAGTCATACTCAAGGCCATTTGCTAAGTGAAGAATAGTAGCTTTATGTGACTGTGTGTGAAGGAAAAAGATATTTTAATCGCAGAGTGACATTCTATGTATCGAAATTAAAAAAAAAACAACAAAACTTATTTAAGTAAAATCTACATTTAAAAGGACAATTAACAAACACTTTTTATGCTAGGAAAAATAAAGTAGCCACACTTTAATGTTTGCAGAATGACACTTAGAACTATTAGGAAAAAGGTTGAGTCACAGTTTCAGACAGTTAATGTAGTTAAGGACATGGCAGTGTGTGTCTTCAGAAATTTCATCATGTTCATTTGACAATACTGCTTTTCTCCCATGAAACTCCATATTTCACTCACTGATGGAGTTTTCCAACATGAGTTAGCATTTAAAATGCTGAGAAGTTTACAAAGATAAATTGTGAGAAATAGATCTTTTTAGAAACACTTAATATGTTTATGACAATTTAAAACTTCCATACTTGATGCCACTGTTGACATATTTAACAGAAACTTGTCAGTAACACTTGGCTACAAATGTGTGTCAAGGATCTGTACTTCTAGGGGAAGACTGATCCCAGCACATATATTGCTGAATATTTTTCTGAGTTCAAGATGAAAAATTTTGAGAGATGGAAAGATGTACAGAATTTCATTAAACCCACCTGTTCCAGAAACTCTGCACTGAAAACGAGCAGAGTGTCCCTCAGATGTAACAGCATCACGTAGTGGAATTATGACAGCAGGTGGATACACTGGCATTTCTAGCTCGGGAGAGACAACTTCTGGGACTAAAAAAAAAAGAGAAAAAAGTGATTTTTAAAGATGAAGAATGAAAATTTTGTTTCACAAAATTTTGTTATGAGCTTGAGAAACTCACTTTCAACTGAAAGTGAAGCTGAAGTTGTAGCTACTCCATAGTCATTTTTTGCTTCACAGGTGTACACTGCTTCATCTTCAGGGAAAGTTTCAATCAGCAAAAGAGTATATTCTTGTGCATCATGAAGAAATTTGCACTTGAAACCTGGAGAAAGCTGTTGATCATCTTTGTACCAGGAAATTTTGGGCTGGGGTTTGCCTGATACAATAGCACAAAAGCGGGCAGGTTTGCCAGACTCCACAGTAGTTGGCTCTAGCTCCCGAATAATCTGGGGTGGCTCTGGAGCTGAAAATTGGGGGAAGCAAGGTGGCAAAGAGAGATAGGACAAAGAAGGAAAGAGAGAGAAATCTCATTATTGATGTTATTAGTGATTGAAAACTATTTGAAAAGAATTAAACAAACAAAACCAACCCCCTTATTATTCCTAATCTTTTGTGCCCATGAAAATCCACCCTTTGCCTTGATACAGGAAGAATGATTTAACAGCAAGTGCCTTAACATAATTAGCTGTGTTGCTGTGAGTGTTTCTGGCAAAATGTGCCCAGGAATTGTTAGGTTGATCACTCTGGAAAGGCATATCTATCCTTTTGGGCAAAATAGTTTTATTTAGACTCAAGAATTTTCTGGTCTAAGTAAATACCATGGGAAAAGGACTGCTATGGTATTTTCTTTTCTTTCAAGAGTTAAAATTCCAGAGAAGCCATATAAAAATCAGAAAACCACTGAGTAATAAATGCAGTCAAAACATTGGTTGTGGGGCCACATACCATTCACATAAAGCATAACAGAACTCCTATTCCGTCCTGCCACAAAAGTATATTCCCCGGCATCGGAGTAAGTGGTTTCAAAGATGCTCATTCGATGAACTCTCCTTTCCACCACATACTTGTATCTTTCCTCATACTGGAAGTTGATCTCAATACCATCCTTGTACCACTGTGGTTCAATATCATCTTCATTGACTTCAAATTCAATTTCAGCTCTTTGCCTCTCAATGACCTTTGAAAAAGTAGGATAATAGAAGTAATATTGTTTTTTCAGTTTCCTAGGTGAAGGTTCTGACCTTATGATTACAGATTTTTGTGCTATGACTCTTGCTAGTTAGATATTGTTGCTCTTCCCTTGCATTATTCTTAAAGTGACAAAGCTATGAAATATTTATTCATCTGTATTCAGGCCTTACCTGAATATCTTTCTGGGCACTTCTGATACGAATGTCACGACCTTCCACTATCAAATTGGCACTGGATGTGTTTCCACCCGCTACTACAGTGTACTGACCAGCATCAGACATCCTTGTGGAAGGAATGATGAGACGATGGACGTATTTCTCTCTCTGAATTTTCATCCTGAGCACATCGGAAAATAAAGTGAGCTAGGTATTTCCTGGGGGAAAACCCACACCAAAACTTAATATGGTGTAGAAGCAATAATTTACCTATCACCAATCTGGAGTTCTTGCCCATCCTTCATCCACTGGACCTGAATGTCAGGTTCTGAAACTTCACACTCAAAAATAGCCCGCTTCTTCTCCACCACTTTGATGTCTTTAATATGCTTCCTAAACTCAATGTGACGAGCTAGGGCAGAAAAAGGTAGAATGAGTGCTGTGAAGTTATTTAAGCCACTAGAAATCACATACAAACATACAAATCAAGAGAGAAAATACCTTCCACATATAAAGTGGCTGATGAAGCTGCTTGTCCAGCAACAAAAGTATATTCTGCTGCATCTCCAAAATGCACATTCCTTATGGATAGGGAGTGTGTAAGCTTCTTTGTTCGTATCTGGCATTTATCAGTCGATTTTATTTCTACACCATTCTTTAGCCATTTATATGAGATGCCTTCATAATTAACAGTAACTTCAAATGTTATTGTATCTTTCTCTTCAGCATTGATGTCTTTTAGCATGGAGGTAATTAGGATGGCTAAAAGGAAAGGAATAGACATGGTTTGCTTTTTTCCATTCTGTTTTACTTCCTTTCAAATGCATGTTAACCAGATTAGAGATGCTTCAATTCCATTAAGACAATTTTGGAAATATTACAAGGTACATTTTGGGTTCAGAATCAGTATTACAATTAAACGTCCCACAACTACTGAATGACATAGGAATCCAAATTTGGTCTACAATGACCTGGCGTTTAGGCATGTTGGCCTAAAGAGAAGAACACAGGATCTGAATTTCAAGTCCACTGCTTCTAAAGCTCTTTAAAGAATGCTATTGAGGCTATTTAGTGTTATTGAAAAACATCTCTACAGTCTGCTACTTTTGTCAGAGTTTCATTATGTGTTAATATGAACTTATTACTGGTAACTGAAAAATATTCTGGTTAATTTAATTTTTACATACGTTTTACAGTCAGGGTTGCGCTGACTCTATCATTTCCACAGACAAAGGTGTATTCTGCAGAATCTTCACTGCTTGTGTTCATGATATTGAGCTGATGGAGTTTCCCTTGCACAACTATTTTGAACTTTTCACTCATTTCAATCTCCACACCATTTTTCAACCAGACAGCAGGCACATTGAAATGAGAAACTTCACATTCAAAGGAGGCAGTTTTGGTCTCAGGGATCTCAATATTTTTCATGGTTTTTGTGATGTGTATGCCTAAAAGGAGGGGAAAAAAGGCAAGAGAGAATTTTCTAAAAGTTAGTATGTTTGGAAAACTGCAAAAAAACAAGGGTAACAGGCTATGAAGTGTCAGGTCAGGTTGCTGAGTGTTGGAATAACAATTAATATACCAATTTTCTTACAATACTTACTTTCCACAAACAGTTTTGCTTTGCACTCAATTTGCCCAACAAGAGCTGTGTATTCCCCAGCATCATCAGGAGATATATTATGCAGCATAAGCTTGTGAACTTTCCTTTGAGAGATCATTTTGTATTTATCACTTTGTTTAAGCTCAATATTTTTGTGGAACCACCGGACTGGCACAGTATCATGGGAAACACTCAGTTCAAATGAGACGACAGCATTTTCCAAAGCAGTCACATCCTTTGGCTTTTTGATGATCTTGACAGCTTGAGGAAAAAAGTCAGCAATATTCAGTACTGTGTTTGATTTGAATTTCAAAACACACATTACAGCAAATATTCAAACCAGAATGGCTTACTTTCCACATGAAGTCTGGCATTTGCTCCTATTTTTCCAAGTTTAAAGCTGTAAACAGACTCATCGGTGACAACACAGCGTTTTATTCTTAATGTGTGAACAGTTCCTTTCACTGTAATTTCGTATTTGTCACTTGATTCAAGTTCAACACCATTTTTAATCCACAGAGCTCCTATCACATCAGGGTGGGTCAGCTCTACACTGAAAACTGCCTCCTGTGATTCTGTCACAGTCAAGTTCTTTAGTGTTTTCTTTATCTTAACAGCTAGGGAAAAAAAGGAACAAAATTAAAAAAACTTGACAAAACAGATCAAAATTAAAGCCTATAGTAAATGTAATAATTCTAATAAAACTGAATAATGGTGCTTCATTTTATGCATATAGTAACTTATACAGTTTCCAGTGAAGTGGTGTGCTGGGAACACAGCAAGGAAGCTTTACTCATAGCATCCATGAGAAAATGTTTGGTTTCTGGGGTTTTATTTGTCTGGTTGGTTGGTTGGTTATTTGGTTGATTGGTTGGTTGGTTAATTGGGGATTTGTTTGTTTAGTTTTTGTTGTTGTTGTTGTTGTTGGATAAGCTCGGGGGTTTGTTTGGAGTTTTTAATTTGATTTATTTTGCTTGTGTTTTAGGCCTGGTCCAAGACATAGTGAGTGATGCTGGAATAAGTCTCACAGACATCAGTTATAAAAAATACTGACCTTCAACCTTCAGTTTAGCAGATGTCTTTGAGCTTGCTATTTCATAGCTGTATTCACCCATATCCTCCAGTTTTGTTGCAGGGATAACAAGCCTTCTCTTTACACCATCGGATTCAGCACGGTACTGATCTGTTGTAGCTAATGGTCTACCATTTTGTAGCCACTGGCCCTCTGATTCAGGATTTGCCACCTCACATTCAAAAACAGCTGTCTGGGACTCAGCCACAGTCAGGTCACTGAGAGGCTTTGAAATGGCACCGCCTGTTGGGAAGAAAAAGCACGTTGTTTTGTTGTGTTGCTGTTCAGCTTTCCCCCATACAGAAACAAAAAGTAGATGCTGGAATTCTTTGCTCTAATTTGCAGCATGCCCATAGTCATTCTGAGCTCTGTGAAAAATCAGGACTAGAACATGACCTGAACATTACAAAAATGTGTGTTCTCATTTCTATCCTAGTTATTCTACTTTATCATCAGCACAGGTACACTGAGAACACATAGGAAAAATCTCCCTGCTTTTTATATTAATTACATCAAAAGTATAATACAGCATTTCATACTGTGCTTCTGATCTAGCAAAATATATTAACACTTAAAAGATTTGAGAATTCAAATTGTACTAATCACAACAGATAAGGGGAAAAGCAAGGAGAACATAAAAAAAGGATAAATTAAAGACAAACTCCCTCTGGATCAACACAATTGCTACAAGTCCATTGGGTACTTTTTCCACAGTGAAATAAAACCCCTGGACTTTAACCCTACTAACCTGCTACTATAAGCTTCCCAGATGTTTTCTTCTCTCCAGCATAAAAGACATATTCTCCTTCATCATCTTTCATCATCTTCACCACTGTCAATTTATATATTTTGCCACGTGCTTCAATTTTATATTTAGGACCAGCCTTTATGGGTTGGCCTTTGAAATGCCAAATTACATCAATCCCTGAATGGGAGAGCTCAACCTCAAAGGACACATTCTGTGTTTCAGTGCAGGTGATGTCATGAAGACCTCTAATAATCTCAATTTCTGTAAAAAGAATAAATTATAGATTTATTTGTTGTTTGCGCTACTTTTGTTTTTAAATAAATTATTTCACAAAGAACTGTGTATCTTAAAAGACACCAACCTTCAACAGTGACATTGCAGCTTGTTTCCACTTTGCCAACCATTAGCTTATAGCGTCCTGCATCTGATGCATGGGTTCTGGTGAGCACTAGCCTCTGTTTAGTGCCTTTACATACAGCTTGCACACGTTCATCAGTCTTTATTTGATTATCATTTAGGTACCATTTTGAGGAGGACACATCAGGTGCTGAAACTTTGCATTCGAGGATGGCTTTTGTTCCTTCAATTACGTGAACATCTTTTAGAGGCACCACTATTTCCACACCTGCCAAGTTACAAATATATTCACCATGAGAAAAACTATGTCTTTAAAAAGGCATCTCCTTTAAAGGAGACAAAAATCAAACACACCTTCAAAATCAACATAGTGACTTACTGTACACTGTGATCTGTCCAGTGGTTGACAACTCAAGATCAGGAACACTAAAAGAGTAAGTTCCACTATCTTCCTTTGTGGCATCTTCTATGAGCAGCATATGTGATTGCTTATCCAACACAATGTGAATACGGTCACTTGATTGAATTTCTTGGCCATCTTTCATCCAGACACCTTCTGCATTTTCGAGGGAGACTTTGACTTCAAGTTGCACGATATCTCCCTCACAGACTTTTTGATCAGTAAGTCCTTGAAGAATTGCCATGGGACGAGCTGTGGAATTAAATGAAGCTAATTAATACTTAAAATAGGCAGAATATTTAACATTAAAGCTTTATGGGATACAATGATATAGTTATAATACATGCTATAATATAGAAAATATCAAGTCTATAGACAATATAAGAAATGCTTACGCTTCATCTTCAGTTTGCATTGAGTCCTTTTTCCATCAACAACGTAACTATACTCTCCTTGATCTTCTTTATTAACATCTTTAATAGTGAGGATCTGACGACCACGGCGGGATGTAATCACATGTTTGAGACCAGAAGTGAGTTCAACATCACCATGATACCATTTTCCCTCCACATCTTCTGGGAAAACCTCGCATTCAAGTTCACCTGAGAAGGATTCTGGCACTTCAACATCTTCAAGTTCTTTAATAAATTCAACTGCAGCACCTAAAGGCAAATAAAAAAAATAAAAAAAATCACAAATAAAATTATTTGTGATTAAGCTTGATTAGATACTCCTGAAGAAAAGAACTGTTATTAAATGAGCCTAAGGGAATATATATCTATATAAACTGTTTTAACATAAATACATCTCTAAACTTTCATACTGGATTCCAAAAGTATGAAAAGCAGCTCAAAATTTCTTAGGGTGTTAGATGCCTGTTTAAGTAATTTTATTTCTTTCTGAAGCTGATTTCACTTTAACAGTATGGCATAGTACTGAGCTGTATGCTTCTTACCTTCAACAGTAAGTTTTGCAGTGGTTTTAACAGATTCATCTTCAACCAGTGCACAGCTGTAGTCATCAGCATCAGACATATCAATTGTTAATACAGAAAGGAAGTGAGCCTTTCTGTCTGAGTGCATCCTGTACTTGTCTCCAGAATGAATCTCAATTCCATCCTTGAACCATTTCACTTTGACAAAGGGCTCTGATGTTTCACATTCAAACGTTGCCATGGAGTCTCTTGCTTTAGCAACAACATCTTGTAACTTCTGGGTGAAGCTGATTAACTGCTTGGCTGCAAAACAATATGTAAAAATCAACAGTGCACTGACCAAACAGACTTAACACACTATGGTGATCAGTAGAATGAGTAAAAGAATTGAAATTACCTTGTACTAATAGGAAAGCATGGCTAGAAGTTTCACCAGCTATATTGACTGCTTTTACCATGATGCTGGCGGAATCATCAGAAGTCACATCTCTGATAACTAGTTCGCAAACATTATCTTCAGGCCAGTACCAGTATACACGATCAGTCCTTTCAATCTGAACACCATTTTTGAACCACTGGCATTCAGGATCGGGTTTTCCCACCACTCTCACACGGAAGTGTACATCTGTTCCTTGGGCTACAGTCTGGCTTTGAATTCGTTCAAATATTTTGGGAGCCTCCATGCTTGGGCTAAGCTCCACCTTCTCTGGTTTGAATGTTGGAATGGTGATTTTGCCTTCAGGAGGAAGTGCTTTCTTCTCTTCCTCTGGGATCTCTTTGGTCCAGTGAAGAAGTTCTTCTTTTGTCTTTTTTAACATTTCTTCATATGATTCATCTTTTTTGCGAGATTTAAGTTCCACAGCTGTAATGGCTTCATAGTAGCCCTCTTCTGTCCTGCGCTTGAATTTACTACGCAGCTCTTCAGATTCCTCTGAAAGCTTTTCATGAGTGATTCTTTCAGCCCTTTTCAGCTTCACCACTTCTTTGGTTGTTGCCTCTGCAGGTTTGTCTACCTTCTGTACCTCAAAGAGGAGTTTCCCAGGTTCTGTAACTACAGGCTCATGTTTGGGCTCAGGAGCACGACGAAGAACAGATCTGAAGTCTTCCCTCTGCTGTATCTCAAGTTTGACCTTATGTTCAATAAAGCCTTCTGGATTCTCTGCGGTGACTCTCACCTCTCCTGTGTCATATGATTTGCAGTCCACAATATCCAGGTAGTAGATTCCATCATAACGGAGCCTAAACCTTTTGCTCTTACGGATGAGTTGTCCGTTGAGGTACCAGTTAACCTTGGGCATAGGATAGCCAGTCACACGGCAGCGGAATCGTGCTGTTTCCCCTTCAAGGACTCTTGCAGGTTCAGGAACCAAAACGATTTCTGGTTTTTGTTTTTCCTTTTGGTCCAGTGCAACAGCAGGTAGAGCACCCTCATGGGCCATTCTTTCTAACTCTTCAATTCGCTGGAGTCCTCTTTTGCCTTCTGGCAACTGGGATTCTTCCACAAGACTTTTCTCATCCTTCACGATCAGAGTAGCAGATGTATGGTCTGTACCATATTTGTTAGTTGCTCTGCAAGTAATCACTCCACTGTCTCTGGAATAGGCTACCCCATAGTCCAGGCTACAGTACCCAAACTCATTGATCATGCGGAGTCTGTTAGCTGCTTCCAAGGGTTTGCCATCATGCAACCACTCCACCACCATGGTTGGGTCGCCAATTGGTGTAAGCCTGCATTCAAAGTGTGCTGGTCCAAACTGTTTGAGCCTTAAAGATGTGAGCTTCTTCTTAAAAAATGGTTTCTGTTGTTTTTCTTTGTCATAGAGATCTCCTTCCTCCCATTGCTCTTGACCATAACGCAGATGGAGAGGTTCTAACTCTGGTGCTGCAATCTCCTTGGCTTTGTAAGTTCCTTTTGGAATTATTAATTTCCTTTCTGGTTCAGGTTCTGTGTGTTCAACCTCAACATTTACTTTGCAGCGGGTAGTGTCCCGACCAGCTTTATTGATAGCAGTAGCAGTATACCAAGCAGCATCTTGCCTGGCAGTAGATTCAATTTTAAGGGCAGCTGCCCCTTTGGTTCCCTCAATCCTGAAATATGGAAAGAAAAATTAACTGTTTTTCCCTTCTTTGTCATTAATTTTTGCCCTTTTCCCAAATTAGATCAAAGCCCCCAGAGGCAAATCTCTGGAGGTAATAGAATAGAATAGAAATTTTTTTAATGTTTATTCATATTTGGGAGTGCAGTGCCTAAGAACCAAACGGAGAAGAATAATAAAAACCAGTCTTAAATTCTGCGGCAGTTTTGTGTACAGAGGTCTTCAAAATCAGAAATAAAGAAAAGTTCACTAAATCTCTGTGATGGCTTTGCTGTATAGAAACTACATGAAAACACAGGCTGGAAGAAAGTGGAGCGAATCCTACAAGGTATTTACATCTGTAATCCTTGCTGCAATGTAAAAGGCCCTTCTGTGAAACTGCAGGAAGCATTTTGCAGGATGGTGTGTCATGGGGTGATTCATGGTGGTTATTTACTACTTAACTTATATAAAGTATTTTAAATAAAATCAAATAATAAAATTTAAATGAAATTTAAATTTGAATAGATTTAAATATAACAAAAATCCTTACTTTATTTTGGGGTATTTATGAGGCACAATGATGTCACTGTTCTTGAGCCATACAATGTCAGGATTAGGGTTACCAGTAGCTTTCACTGCCATCTCCAGTCTAGAGCCCTCCTTCACGCTGACATTTCTCAATCTTTCCACAAAGTGTGGTCTGACTAGGTCTTCCTTAGCTGGAGAGCAAATGTAAGTTATCACAAGAGGAAATGACACAGCCATGGTTTTAAATAAGAAACACTCATCAGACTTCTAAAAATAACATAATATACAGAATATAATAGAAAAGACAGAAAATACCTTCTACAGTCAGTGTCATTGAGACTGAAGCTTTGCCTGCCCTGTTCTGAGCAATGACAGCCCATTCTCCAGAGTCTTCAGGCATTGCAGGAACAATGATCAATGACTGGGTACCATCTTCTTTAATCACTATTTTATGGGTGTAGTCATTAATCACTTGTTGACCTGCAGGTACACATGAAAAGAAAAGAGTTGCAATCAAAACAGTCTCAACGAGACATAAAAGACTTTTTTAAAGAATATTTATTCATTAAAATATGGCTCATGTACCATTATGGAACCAGTATGTCTCTGGCATAGGTCTGCCAACAACTTTTAAGTCAAATCTTGCTGTCTGCCCTTGTGAACATTTAAATGATGTTGGTTTCAACACAAAAACTGGCTTATATAGTCTCTCTAGTTGCCCTTCATCAGTTTCTTCTAATCTCCGGGCAGGAGAACGAGAAGGAGAACTGCGGGCAGGAGACCGGCTTGGAGACCGTGGAGAGATAGACCTGGAAGGAAAAGATAAGACAGATGTGTATGGCAATGTCATATAGCAGTTGTAAACAGATTTCAACCTTTGCCTTTCTCATAATTTATTTTAAAGAGTTTGGCTGATTTATCTATGTGAGAAATTGGGGAAAAAAAAATAAAATTATTTGTTGTCAATTTTCTTTAGGTTTTTGAAAGGAGTTTGCAGAGCTGAGTAGTGTTAGGATACACAACAGCCAAGGAAATTTTTGGATTTTGGGTAGTGTACAGATCAAAATAGGATAGTGCAATCCTGTGTGCGTTAGTGCATGGGTGTGTATGTGTATAGAGACTACAGGACAAGGCAATGCTTAAATTTTTCTGTCATAGAAATGCAGCTATTTCAAGGGCAGGAAAAAAAACTTGCACACCACACTAAAACTCTAAGAGTAGAAGATAGTTTTTCAAAAATGTGAGTACTTAAATAAATATTGTTATTGGGCTATTAAGTCTGATACCGTGGCTGGAAATGCATGTGAATGATTGTACTCTGGGAACTGCATTGCTCATTAAAAGGGAAAACCAGACAAAAAGTTAGCACCTGAATCTGTAGGAGTCATGAAAAAAGCATTTTTCTTTTTTAGAAAAGAAACTTTAGAACTTTTCTAGAGCTACACAAACTCCAATAGCTTAAGCCTATTTAACTGCTATGTAATGAGCTTTTGGACTATCACAGCAGATTGAAGTCTCATAATATTATATTATTGTGTACCTACCTATATCTTCTCATAACTTCAGGTCCTGGCATATAACCTGGAGTTGCTGTAGGTGCAACTGGCTCAACATAGAGTTTTGCTGAGCAAATGGCATTTCCTTTCATATTACTGGCAAAGACAGTATAAATTCCTTCATCTTCAGGTAAAACAACAGGTAAACGCAGAGTGGCGCTACCATCTTGCAGAAGTTCCATGTGGTAGCGCTCTCCATGCCTTATACGTTTGCCATCCTTGTACCATGCCACCTACATGGAAAGAAACAGTAAACTGCTCTGTGAACTCTTCTAAAGACAAAGATCCAGTAATGACTCATGCATACAAGACATTACAACTTGCTGGTTTTCAGCTGAAAAGCATCACAGCCCACACATATGTGTTAAACATTAACATTTTTATTTGAAATAGGTGAGACTAGTGTGAGATGTTTACATAGCAATCTGAAACACAAGTTTTGGATCTAGAAACAGATATAAAAGCCTATTTTGATGAAAAACAAAGTAACCTAGACTGGACTGCTACTGTGTTCCCCACCGGTCTGGGCTACCTCAGTGATACTCAGAATCAAGACCAACTTAACTGGTAAATCCAGCCTACCTCTGAACTGGCTAATCAACCTAACTATTTTATTAAGGGGCAAAAGGAAAATTCAGCTTGATATCAAACCAGAAGACTGGATTTCTTTTGAGAGTTGCTGTTTCCTGTGCAGAATGTCTGACAGTGAGATGTTAAGGGATTTTTTCAAGTAGAGCATAAAATGATTTACAAAAAAAAAAACTATACAAATTTGGGGTACCTTGGGCAATGGATATCCAGATGTCTTGCAATGGAAGGTAACTCCTGTCCCTTCAAAGGTTCTGTAATTCTTTAATCTTAAATCGAATCCTGCTTCTACAGCTTCAGATTCAGAAATATCAACCATCATCTCCTCTCCATCTTCTTCAAGAAGTTCATGTAACGTAGTCTTAATAATTCTGAGTTCAATTTCCTTGATAAGTCTTTCTTCGAAAGAAGAAATATGGAATTCCTATACAGAAAAGCAAGACTGTTAGTTTTCTGTGTCAAATAATGATGTTGCATATAAATTATTTGTATGGTAAAATGTCGGTACCCAAAATTAATATGGAGGGACAGACATACCTCATCTTCTATAAAAGTTCTGACCATCACTGTATCTTTTGCCATTTTCTTCCTAATTAGAGCTTGTTCTTTCTCATACTCTTTTTCAAAGTCACCATAGGAAATGGGTGGGGCTACCTCAGCCACTTTAGGTTCCTGTACGTATGCAGTCATTTGAGTTTGGTACATCATTTCTTGTTGCGATTTTATGTAGGCTTCGTAATCAGCTAAGAATTGAGAACAGATGAATTTTGATAAATTTTTTGGTTTTTACTGAATTGAACTGAGAAAACAAGTACAAACTTATTTTACTGGTTTTGGTGATTCAAGCAGATTTTCTATCTGTTTAGCCAATAAATACAAACAACAACAAAATGCAAAGACTGATGTAATGAGATGAGCTTTATAAACAGGTAGGAGCCTTCCTGTACTATTTAGGTGTCCTAATTTTCAAAGTGCAAGCATCTGCAGAGATTATTTTACAATTTATTCACCATGATTCTGTCTCTTGAAAAATTTTGTACATTTTTACAAGACAAATTAAAAAATTAACCGAGCTGATTTTCCTTTAAGATAACAACCTATTAATTGATTAGCCTTCTTTTCCCACATCCCTCTCTGAACCTCTTGTCATGAACATGGCATGCCAACAGAGGAAGGTTCCTGAAGCTACACATTCTAGCAAAGAATAAAGTCCATCAAGGACCTGCTGTCAGATCCTCTGTCTTGCAGAAACAGAGCCACCAGCTCTCCTTTTATGTTTCTTGAGCTGAATAAACTAAGATGCAAAGAATTTGCAGCACAATTTAAAATCTTTTTTTCCCATTCGAAGTTAATTTTAAGAAATACTGTTCCCATTTCCTTAATTAAAATGTACCTTCTTCTAGTAAGGAGACCGTTGCAGAAGCTTCTCCAAGATTATTACGAACAACAATAGTGTATTCTCCGGCATCATCGGCAAAAGTCATGGAAATTTCAAGTTTGCATTCCCCGGTTTCTTTTTTATAACTCACTTTGTATCTATGGAAAACACAAAAGTAAAAAGTCTCTATAATTCTGGTTATAATTAACCTTTTAGTTAATTTGCTTTTAGTTACAGTTAGACACACTCCTAACTTGTACAAAGTACAAAAAGAGAAACTTTTGCAGGAAATTCTCATTGAATGAATGAGCACAGAGAGCAGCATATGAAAAATAACCATGCTGAAACTAGAGTACTGGTCAGCTTTCTTTTTGTTGTCACTAAATAAATAGGAACCAAAACCCACTACTGAAATATCAGAGGTCTAGTTATCAGACACAATATAATGGTATATTCTGTGTGCACACAGTTTGTTTTAATATGGATCATCAAAACATGATCATTTCAAGAATGCTACAAATGTAATATTTTTTCTCAGCTAGGAAGTATGTTGCTTTCTACAGAAAACACGTACACAGAGAGAATGCAAACATTGCACAGACAGAATAAAACAAATACAAAACTTCTTCCTGATTTGTTTACAAGTATAACATATATCTCCTTTTATGGTCTTTTAAGTATTTATATTTTAAAACTTAAAAACCTATTGAATTGTGAATTGAAGTCACACATTAAGTGAACTGAAGTTACACATTAAGACATGACCCTATAATTTTTACATTAAAAAATAATTTATTTCACAGGAATCCGGATGATATTTGCCTCAGCATAAGTGAGGGAATCAAATTATGACATTGACAATTAATATGCATGAAAATTATGTTAAGATGGATTTTGGGCATTGTATTCAAAGTACCTGTAGCCAGTCGTTAGAGGAACTCCGCCTTTTTTCCAGTAGACATGTGGCTTTGGGTTGCCCCCTACTTGGCATTCAAAAATAATGCTCCCACCTTCAATTAATTTATGCACCATGGGTTTTCTAATGAAGAAAGGAGGTATGGGTTCTCCCGATACTTCCTCTGCTGCAGCAGAGACATCTTCCATTACAATGTCCTTTGTCTCCACATAGCTGAAATAAGATTTCAGTGCAGGTAAGTGAGCTGATCTCTGAAGCTCTCATAAAACAGAATGCAAGAACCTAATGACTGCCGTAGGAGCAGTCTGTTTAGAAAAGTAACTTTACCGTTTCTCTTCGGTAACAGACTTCTCAGAAATGGTTTCTCGAGTCTCAATTTCTTCAGTAACTACAAGGCAAATTTGATAGAGTGGATTTTAAAGTACCTTAATAGGCCTTAAGCAATGACTTCAGTTGAAGTAACTAAACTAAAGTAGTTAGTTGGCTCAGAGGGCTCGTTAATTCCATTGAGGAATCGATTTAAGAGTCTCCTATTATCAGCTCATTATTGGCCTTTTCTTCATAATCTTACAGCCCTTCTATCTAATAACCCCAGAACACAACCCAAGCCGTATGTTTTAAGTGCCCAAGATACATTACAAGCAATATACTGTTAACAAAATTATTACTTCCTACAGTGACAAGAGGGACTGTCCTTGAGTTGCATCGAGAGAGGTTTAGTTTGAATATTAGGAAACCTTTCACCAAAAAGGCTATCAAGGGTTATCAAGCATGGGAACAGGTTAACGGGCCCATGAGTCATCTGGGCTGACTTTTAAATACCTTCTCCACCCTGGAGGCATTTAAAAGACACGTAGATGTGGCACCTAGGGACAGTGTTTAGCGGTGGACTTGGCAGTTTTGGGTTAATGTTTGAAATCAATGCTCTTGAAGGTCTTCTCCGACTTTAACAATTCTTTGATTCTTCAAATATACTCACCTTTCACATGTAAGTGGCAAGAAGTACTGACACTCCCAGCCTTATTGGTAGCAGTGCAGGTAAATCTTCCACTGTCCTCTGCAAAGGCTTCACGAATCACAAGACGAGCAAGTCCTGCTTTGAAAGTGATCTGGAAGTCCATTGAGCTCTCAATTTTGTAGTCTTCCCTGTACCACGTCACTGTAGGCTGAGGATGACCAGATATTTGGCATTCCAGAGTGACAGATTCACCTTCAGTCACAGTCTTATTTTTGAGGCCCTGTATGACAAAAAATAAGTATCACAGTCAGTATACATTTTCAATACTAAGCAGATATTTAAATATATAAAACCTATTTGAATGGAAAATATAACATCTAGTTCAAAACAATGTTCTGTGAAGCAATGTATGCAGGAAAAAAAAAGACATTTTCTGGAGGGAAATATTTGAAACTGGCTTTTAGGGTCTGTGAACACTGCTGTTATTAACAAAATTAAAAGGCAGGTTAACATTTATGCAGATAGATCTACCTACTATGCAACATAAATGTGAAGAATCACTACCATAAAAGACATCAAGAAGACTTTGTATCAGATATAAATTATATGGCTGACTAAATCTAATACAAAGTTTAAAAGATTAAATAAAGCCAATTTTTAATGGTTAGGTATTCAGCGATAAAAATTAGAAAACAGAATGAGAGAAAATTAGTGTAACTGCCCTACATTACATACAAATTACTTACTGAGACTAAGGAGGGTGGTGTAGCAGGGATTTCTGCAGGTACAGGAACCCTGGCAGTTTCTGTCACCTGTTTAGATGAAAATTAATGAACAAAGTCAAGGACATAGCATAATTTAAATAAGAAAATAAATCAGGTTATGTGAACTCTTTGCATGTCATAAGTAAATATTAGGTCCTTACAAAGATTTGTGTAAAACCGATAAAAGATAAAAGATAGCAGAATGCTTTAGAAATGAAAAATTGTGATAAGAAGAAAGCAAAAAAGTGGAGCTATTACATATTTTTAAAATGAAAGTCAGTCAAAGTGACAGAAATTAACTTAAAAACATACCTTTGCTTCACCTTCTTTATGCAGCATCAAGTGTTCTGTTCGCACTGCTTCACTTTTAATGCTTGTCTCCTTTTTAGTCTCAACACCATAGTGACTCTTATACGTCTCTGCAGCCTCTCCAAAGGGAAACTGTGCAGGAGCAACTGGCTCTGCTTTTGTCTTGGCTTCATGAGGCTTTAGCTGAGGTGGTTTCACAGGCTTGGTGATCTTTTGCACAGCAGCAGTAGCTGATAACTCTTTCTCCAGAGTAGCCATGGCAGATCCAGCTATTGAAACCTAGGGAACAGAAGAAAAAGAGTTACAGCTTTGTTGGTGTCTTATTTTCAGAGGAGAGACTTCATTTCTTTAGCAGATTGCATATGCAGCAGCTGCTTCCTTAGTTACTTGGTTTTGGCACTGCAAAAGCTAAATGTAAAAAAAGAGTAGTAGTTTTAGATTGCAGTAGTAGAATACCAGAGATATAATATCCTTGTATTATTTTTGATTCATCTAACATTTAAATATTTTCTTTTTCACTTTAGAATATGATTTTTAAATGGTCAAGAAGCTCTTGAGCAGAGCACAAGAAATGTTCTCTCTATTTCTTGAGGCTTGAAGCCTTAGATCTAAGGCTTGAAGCTTTAGATTTCCATTTAATCAGTCTAGTACTGCAATAAAGAATACTACTAATTATATAACTTCCAATGATTAAAATAACTGAAGCGATTTCAAAATCTTATTATAGGTGGAATTACTTTTTAAAACATACATAAATATCTAACAAAAATATTTATAAGTGTTAAATTATATTTAACAAAATATAATTTTGTTATATGGAGCAAAAAAATTTTAAATTCCAGGTGAAGAGAAAAATTATGCTTGAATGTGAAAATTAATTAACTGGAAAATTTTAATATTATGTAAAGGAGTCCAACAGAAGAATGGAAGAATAAAATTAAAAATGGATAGTATCAGATTATGCAGTCAGTCTGGATTTTTTCCATTAAAAAAAAAATTGCTTAGCATGTGTTAATTAGCAAGGAAAAAAAAAGCGAGTGAACTGATGTACATAATAAGATTAAAAAGGGATACTTCTGCTCTTTAAAAACTATGACTTGCATGACAAATATCTACAATTTCACTATATATCATAAAGTACTGAATCTGCATTCTCAGACAGTTTATAAGATTATTTAAATAAGAAATAATAACAACAAATTTTATTTTTGCAATTGATTTGTATGTTTACAGCAGTGTTCCTTATTAGTCAAACAAGCCAACAAAAATTACTGCAAGGAGCATACAACTGTTCCTCTTGGGGAGGCACCACACTGGAGTGTGGGAGGAAAAGCCAAATTGAACGTGTACCCTACTGGCTATTGAAAATGAGCATGCTGCTCCTCTTGGATACAAATTCAGCTTACCTCATACGTATGATCTGGTTTAGGAACTGCAACTCTGGAGACCGTGAAGTGAGGACTTGCTGTGCGAGGTCGCGGCGGTTCAACATGAATTGTTCTCTCAAGTTCTGTTGTTCTCTTTATCTACACAAAGCAATGAAAAAAGTTGCTGAAAGTGACGCTGTTATTTAAACTTAAACAGATTTCACTGGGACATAGTTTCTGGAAAAGAATGTAATGTAAAAGGAGTCTAACCTCTTTTGATATATGAACCTCCTGCTTTTCAGGAGCTGAGACAGGTTTCTCAGGAGGAACATAGACCGTTTTGACTTCTTTAGTGACAACATGACGTTCTGCTGGGGCCTCAGAAACACGGTCTGTTACAGTGTGCTCTTTATAACCATATTCCAAAGTTTTCTCCTTAACATAAGTTTCATCTGCTTGTTCTGGTTGCCAGGGTGATCGAACACGTGCCTGGTCAACTGCTGCAACAACTGTGGCTACAGCTTCAGCCTTTTTTCCAGCTTGAGTCTATAAATAACATCAGCAGAATTTATACACATATTCATCATTATATCAAAAGCTTGTATATATGACAAAGAGTTATAATGTTCAGTATATTCCAAAGAGAGGTTTTATGGTTATGCAAAAGTCATGATGAAATCCAAAGTATGCACTGGTAAATACACCTAGGAATCAGTAAATTCAATTGCAAATATATTCTATAAGTACTATCTCTGCACATCCAGAATATATCTGTGCTTCTGTCTTTTATACATATCAATAGTTTTCTGAAAGCCCAGTTTTAATACTTTACAGCCACATTCGTGTCCACTTGTCTAAGAGTATGCAGGTATGTAAATGTGCATAGGTTTAAAGTATGTTCATCAGCTCCATATAACTCTTGTAGATTTAAAAAATGCATCTAGCATCTGATATAAATGTATTTATTAGGAAACAGATCTATCAAAATTTTTCTATCAGGTATATCTGTTAACACAGTGCTGATTTTAAAGGATTTTACAAAAGGAGGGAGACTGAGATGTCTGATAATTCAGAAATAATGCTTTTACATCAGGACTTCTATTTGTTTCTAATAACCCATAAACACCTTCTGTGTTGTCAGGATGGAAACTTCTGCCCAGTCACTGCAAATACTGTTTGTTATTACTGTCATAACTGATCTCAATATAGCAACAGAGCACATGATATTTATGCCTTGTAAATGGGAAAAAACCCCATAATAGATAATTACATGTTGAGCTTAAAGCCATTACCAGCTTAAACTAAAATTACTTAGATGAGGCCAAAATGTGATAGTTTGCAAAGATTTTGTTTTCTTATCAGTGTTTGCATAATAGGGCCCCCTTATTCAGTATTACTGTCAGTTTTAAAATAATTTTTATACTGGCCTGAATTTGGCCCTAAATTTACATCATATAACAAGGGTCTGAATTAACCTAGTAGTCTGACTCCTCAGAGTGAGCTCTATATGCTTTACTTGTTTACTTATATTTTATAAAAGTATTTTTTGAATGTACTACACTGCAAATAGATTTTAAATAACACTGGTTCTCAACTATGCTATTCTTCCACATTTAAGGGTTCCTGGCTGAATTGTAGACCTTTCCTACTCTGGGAATCCTACTGGGACAAAGCAGTGCCAACAAGTGTCTGATGGTCATAAGTAACAAACTGGACAGACCTGAATGGATGTTAAACTTTGTATTGTACAAAGAGCAATTCAAATCACATTAAAGAGAAGTTGTTTCGTCTGACAGCTATGAAGTTACAAGAAAAAGAAGATTGCAGTCAGAAATTTGAACAAGTAAACATTACTTAAAAGCCACTGATAGAGAAGAGATTGTCATGAAGAAATCAGACTATAGCCTAAAGAGTGACATTTCCTAAAGGGTGGCATATAAACCTCTTCAGCACTAGAAACTTAATTATACTGACTCTGTTATTTGACAATCATCCCACTGAATGGGTATGTTTTCAGGAATTAATTTGAGAGCATTCTGTTGTACCAAAGTACCTACTTTGACATACATAAGACATACATAAGACATAAGGTTTTCAGATAAACCAAATTATAATTGGCTGTAATTTCTTCTCTGTTTCTGGACACCGTGACTGGTGCTTTGGTTTTAGCAGTGGCAACTATTTTTGGAACTACACTAGTTTTCTCAGCTTCCTTTTTAATCTAGTTTTTATAGCAGAAATAAAAGTTTACATTCAGTCTTGAAAGATATTTGAACAATGAAAAAACATTTTGAAATGGGATCAGGGAAGGAGAATTGAAGGGTTAGATCCTTGTGCACTGCACACATCTCTGTATTATGTGGATAGTGATAAGTATTGTTATACCCTTGCAGGTATTTAAATTAAAGTAATGATTTTAAAAAATCATTAAAAATGCATTTAAAAATCTTTAAAATGCATTTCAGGAGTCAGTCAGTCCATTCCAAACATCAGTCAGAAAATAATTATGAGCATCCTATTAATGAAAACAAGAGAGGAAGATCAAGGTGAAATAATTTAGTCTAATTAGGTCTAAAAGTTTGTAAGTGGAAGAATCTTAGAAAAAATAAAGTGGAAATGTATAGTTAGTACTTTTTGAAGAAAACAGGAGGTTTGTAAAGAAGAAAGGATAAAACCCAAATATGGTTATAACAGTGCTATTCACCTTTTCACGTGTTATGCTCACTTGTTCTTGTTTGGTGGCAATTCTTTCTTTACTTTTCGATATTATGACCGGTGCTTTAGGTTTATCAGTAGAAATTACTACCTTAGGTACAGAAGGTTTCATATCTTCCCTTCTTATCTATTATTTATGGTAAAGAAAAATAATAGTAATTGATTATGCCTTTTGTCATGATTCCACAACTTTTTTGGAAAGCAGGATAATGTTTCTAAATGCATCTCAAGAAGAACTTGACTTCAGAACTGGAACAATGCCTTTGTACCCAAGCTATAGCCCATCTTATATGCTGAGAGAAGCTCATGAAAAGTCATTAATATAGTGCATTAATTTTTACTTGAATGAGAGAAGAAACTTTGTACTTCCTAGTTTGTAATATATGATTATGTTTTGTAGAAATTGTTTGCATAGAAATTAGCATTACTGATTCAACAACTAACCCCATTAGTTGAGTGGTTTCACAATATGGTCTAACAGATGTATTCAATCCTCACACAAGTGTGCACGTCATAAAATCAAGCTTCACACTCCATATCCTACCACTAAAAACAACCTTTAAAATCTCTATTCAGAAATCTACCTTCAGAGATAAATTTGTCATTAGGCATCAGATGAAATTCTGTGTACTGTGGCAATAAAAGTCCTAATGCTCTGTAAGAAGGGCAGCTGCCCTTCTCTGCAGACAGAGCAGCTATGTGGTCAGCAGAAATGGATCTGCAGTGATTTTGGTCTGGAATACTTTATTTCACAAATTTGTTTAGTAATCTCTTGGTAAAGAAGGACAGTGAACAGATTTATTTAACAGATTTTATCTACCAGAGTTATCTCAATAAACTAAAGAGTGTAACATTTATTTACCTGTTCATGAGCAATGTGCACTTGCTCATGTCTGGTAGATATTTCTTCTCTGGCTCTTGTTACTCTTTCTTGTTCTTTGGCTTTGTCTGTGGCAATTGTTACTGTCGGTACTGGAGCTTTCTCTGGTTCTTTTCTCACCTGAACATTTACAAATAAAGAATTTCATATTTTTATTTTAAAATATGTATGTATGTGATTTTCAATATATTTGGAAAAGAGCATAGAAATTAAAATGAACGAAGATGTCACATTCTGTATTTTGAAGTCATGTAGTCTGGAAACAACAATAACAACATGAACGGACTTTGTATAAAACATTTAACATAAAAATAATAAAACATTGCACAAATGCTTGGTTTGCTACTGAAAGCAGTACTAGAAAAATTGGCTCAGAGAAAAACTGTCCTGCATTATAATCACCTTGAGAAAGTGAAGGATATTAAAAATATTTTACAAAACTTTCATTTGACAAGAGTTCAAATGTCAAGTTCAGATTAATGTCCAGATGGATTTTTGTTTCTCAGTGCTTTAAAAAAAGGTTACACTTTCTTCCTGACACATTTCTATTATAATGCAAATGTAACATTGGCTATAAAAGCTCATTTTCCATTAAATCACATTTTTCTGATAAAATACATGTTAAAATAATAAAATAAAATAAAATAATTGAATTCAAATCACTCATTGGTATTTTCAAAATTGATTTAAATGCAGAATGAGTTTTTCTTCCTTTTTCTGACCCCCTCTGCTGCCAACAAACAAAGCAGGCTACAAATGGCAAGCTTAGAGACAATATGAGAACACACCTCTCCCCAACAAATCTTAAGAGCTAGTTTTAACATGTAGAAACATGTTAATTCTTTAAATGAACAAGAATACTATGCAGTAAATTACTATATAATATATGAAAACAAAGAGGTTTGTCTAGTATGATGTTTTGCAACTTTATGTACCACATTCTTAGGTGTAAATAATGGAAGTGAAATAACAGAGGAAAGATGGTAATCACGGAGAAGAGACAGGAAAACGATAGCACAGTAAACTGGAAGAGTGAACATATATAAATGGGACAAATAATAACAGCATTTCATTTGTCTTCTTCATAGGCTTGCCTTTTGTATGAGATATCAGATTTTTAACAAGGTAGGGCATAAGAATCTCAGGTACAATCTGTATTCACCTTTTCAGGAGAGATGTGTCTTTGTTCTTGTGAAGTTACAATTCCTTCTCTAGTTCTTGATATCACTGTTTGTTTTGTGGCTTTATCACTGGTAACTACTACCATTGCCTCCTTTTTCATCTGATTTTTTGTAGCAACAAACAAAAAAAACCAAAGCCTTAGAATTCATTTTAAAAAATTAATCATCAAAATAAGAGGAGAAGGAAAAATAAGAGAGGAATCCAAGTAAAGGAAAAATACTAAGGGAGAATTATTTTTTCCTAGTGGGGAAATTATGAGGTATTAAAGAAAAAATTTCATCATCGTAAGAATAATGTTAGAGAATAAAGGAGAAGAGAGAATAGAGGATCACTTTCAGAGAAAGCATCTTTAAACTTAAAATGAGTAATTAGTTCAATCCTGTTATGATGGAATGCGATGGTATAAGTGAACCTGATGCAGTCTAGGTGTTCTAGATGAGTATGCATGCTTTTGCAGTGCACTGGGTAATATCTTGTTAATTCCTCACAGTGAATCATGCCTTGTTTGCATGTTGGATGAAGGGATAAAAGGAAATCATAGAATGTCTGTGCTCTGTTTCTACCTGCTCATGAACAGGCTGAACGTGGACTGCAGTCATTGCTGTCTTTTTAGAAGTTTGCTCTACAACACTTGGAGCGGGTTCTCTCACCATGGCTTGATCCACAGCAGCAACAACCGTAGCAACAGCTGCTGTTTTTTCACTGTCCTTTCTCACCTATATTAGTCACATCAAAAGACATTTTTTCATATTTTGCATACATTCAGAAGAAGCACAAAGCAAGTACAGAGACAGAATGTTGCAAAGAAGCATTTCCATATCTGCAGCAGAACTCTCTCAACAGCAGATGCACACATGGTTTAACACACAGCCTCTCAGATGCCATTCAGCAGATCCATCCAGCAGTGGTGGGACCCCACACAAAGATAACTCAATGCTTTTTCCAAAACCAGACTTTACCTCTCTAGCAGCAGCGGCCATGTCACCAGCAGTAGCGCCAGTAACGGTAACTTGTTCTTGGACCCCGTATCTCCCCTCCCATCTTTCTTCAGTCACTTGGGTAGTGCTTGTAGATACTCTTGTTTCCTTCATCTGGGATTCCATGGTGGCAGCATATCCCTCCTGCTTCCAGGGAGGAAGGACATCAGCCCCAGCTGTTGTCACTACATGTGGTTTACGGATTGGAGATGGAGATTTCACTGGTCTAATAGGTGAGGTGGAGATTCTCCCAGCAGGAGAAACTGACCTATTGAAAAACATTGAGTATGAACATCATTAATCTACTGCCACAGAGTGATAACTGTATAAACTGTATAAACAGTTATCCCTCCCCATATAGGGTATCTCCAGTAATGTGTGGTTTGATTTTAAGAAAGGTTTCTGAAAGGTTTTACTTGTGAATTATGCTAACTTGTTTTTTTAATATTATGCCTAACTGTTGTCATTCTCATAACTTTAACATGTCTTTGTAGTGGTTTAGTTTCCAAAAAGAAATAAGAACAAGTGGAAAAGAGATTTCAGTCAATTTCAGTCATTTTCAGAAATTATATTTGAAATATAAAAATACAGCATGATTTTGCATTTGTTCTGTTCTAATTAATCTAATAGGAATAATACAAAACACTCACAGGCTGTAAGTATTACATAATACGTTCATAATACACAAAATGATAATTTTAACCAATCTCTATAAAAATCACACGTAGCAACCACTTAGCAAAACAAATGGATGTACTTCTGTACTACATTATTTTCATGTGTCACCCATATATGTACTCCAGGCAGATTTCTTATCAGTGCCTAATATTTTTCCCCACACTTGTATTTACAGACCTCAGACACAATAATTAATATCCACTTGGAAATTGCTAGTTTCTAAATTTTGATGTTCCAAAAATTCAGTCCTAATCCTATCAGACAGTTTTAAAGAATTTTCCAACGTTCTTAAACAGGATTTTTAACTTAGAATTTCTTTGAGTGGAATTTTTTGTGCTTTTTTTGTGTAATTCCCTGAGAACTTTAACAAATAGCAGCAGTAGGGGGCAGCACCATCACATTAATGTTTAGATTTAGTTTTTTCTAATGTGTTTTTTGTCTAAAAGGACTATCAAGGGAGGACAAATTTCTAGTTCTACATGTGCTCTAGATGTCGCTATTGAATTCTTTTTTCACTTATGCAGTTTCTTAGTTACTGCTAGTTGCTACCAGTCCATTTATTCCTGTCCTTGCAAATTATAATCAGTGGGGTAAAATTCACCATCTCACCCAGCTCTGGTAACTTAAATGGGGCTCTTTGAGCATTCAGTCTGGGGACATTCCTTCCACAATGCTAGTGCTTCAGGATACTGAAACTGCAGGACATTAAAACATTCTTCTCTTTACCTTCCCCCCAGCACAGACCTCACAGGGTCTCCCAGACCACGAGCCTTGCTTTTCAAATCACTCAGTTTCTCTCCAGACTTTCTACACAGCAGAGCTAAACTTCAATTTTCTATAACCACATTTAGCTTGCTTACCTTCAAAATGTTATTTCTGTACTTATTACCAGTACATACATGGAACATGAGCTCAATGTTTTTTTTTATATATCTTTTCATTCTGTTTGCCACTCATCAGTGTCATTGCTCTTTTCTCTGCTCATCTAAAATAATCAAGGGCCACCTGCTCCACTGTTTTTATCTGTTTCATCATGAGCTGTGAGTGCTACTTTGGCTCTTTGTACAGCAATCAAATGGGATTTTCTACAGCAGGGAACAGAAGTCTACATAAGCCACCCACACTTCTATAGCAGTGGCAAATATAGCACATTAGAGCTCACCATCAGAATAAACCCAGCCACTAGTAAGTCAGTGCATTTTTTCACTTTATACTATGTTCTCATTCTACAGCATGACTTCTATATGTATGAGTGATTCAAAAGCAATATTGCCTGAAAGAATAGTAATTTTACCTGACTGGTGAAGGTGTTGGTGCTCTGACATGTCTTACAGGTGATGGTGATTGTCTAACAGGTGACGGTGATTGCTGTCGTGCCATTTGTGCTTTTGCAGCAGTTGTCGGGGTTGGTGATTTTGATGTAGGTCTGGGAGGCATTCGTGGAGGTGCCTTGTGTGGGAGCTGTTGGGTGGCTGCACCTTCTATAACCATTTCAACACTTGTAAGTGATCTGGCATCAAAGTGGGTTTCAGTCTTCTACAATGAAAAACAAGAAAAAGAAAAATAGGGTGAGGTACTGTAGAAGTAATCCTCCACATTTTAGCCATACCTGCTTTGTTTTTGAAAAGTATACCTTTTCAATTCTGGCTTGTCTTGTTTGTGAAATCTGAGCAGTCGAAACAATTGTCTTTGTCTTTTTAGCAGGAACTGCTTCTTCCTCGCCTTTTGGAAGAGAAAACGTGGTCAGAAGAATTGCATATGGCAACAATCAAAAATCAGTTGGAGAAATAAATGAATGGTCAACTCTAATTATATATAAATTTATATATACAACAGAAAAAGCCAACTTAAAAATAAAACTTTGAGAGATTTACAAACCAAAGATACCTTGAGAAAAACTCAAGGCATCCCTTTTTCCATCAACAGTATCCTTCACTTAAAGAAGACCCATTCTGGAGAAAAGATCCTTTAAAATCTCAGACAAAAATCTTTGGCAAATTTCATCAAAGACACTGCATTTAACTCTTGAGAACGAAGTTATAAATCAACTGCAATGAAGTGGTGCATATTGCACCACTACTATTAATGCTCTGATTTTCATGGCCTGCAATTTCAGCTCTGTTACCTTGAATTAGTAATTCGGCTGTTGAAGTAGCACGTCCCACACTGTTTGTGGCATTTACGGAATAGGTGCCGGAGTCTTCAGGATATGCTTCTGCAATTATTAAGCTGTAAAGGTCTCCTTCTTGTAAAATTTTAAAATCGGGGGAACTTTTAATTTCTACTCCGTCCCGATAGAACTTCACCACAGGTGTAGGGATTCCAGTCACTCTCACGTCAAGTCGAACTTGACTTCCCTGTCTTGCAGTCATGCTCTGTAGTCGTTGTGAGAAGTTTGGTGGTGCTGTTCCAGCTGCATTTTTATTGAAGAAGTAAATAGAAAAACAATAGCTTCTCTTAAAAATGATGGCAAATACTAGATACTTTTGTTACTAGAAGTGCATGAAGTCTATTTCTTCTTCACATGCTACTGACAGATAATAGTACCTTCTGAAACATTCAAAATACTATTTCTGATTACATTTGTGATTGAAAATGTTTCCAGAATTACAGACAGATTGTTTGCAACCATAGGCATTAAGCAATTGGTAAGGCCCTTTATGTGACATTCTGTTAAATATCATTGATACCATTAGATATCATTAATGGCTCCATCCTGCAGAACTGCATCCTTTCTTTTATGGGCAATTTCAATGTAGCCAGTATGTCAGACCATAAGGAGTATAAGGGCTGAGCCTGAAGTTTGTAATCATGAATAAGAGTTTACGAGATCAAGATTAATCTTTATAGGGTTAAAACGTAAAGGACACTGTTAGACTTTACTGGTGAGAGCCCATGCTGAATCCTAGACTGCTTTAGGAAAAGGAATGTGGTTTTGCTTTTTTTTTGCTGATCACATACTTGAAATCTGAACTATTTCATAACATGTTACTCTTCCATCATTCCCTCACACTGCTAGCAGGCAGAGGTGCCTTTCTTTAGGTGCTCTGTACCTGTGACAAGCAGCTCAGCAGTACTAGTAGCTTGCCCAGATCCATTGGTGGCTTGCACAGTGTATCTCCCGCTGTTGGCTTCTGTCACGGTGGGGATCACCAGTCTAGCGCGGCCATCACTAAACGAGATCTGCACACCGGGCAGAGTTGCAGCAGAGAGAACCTGGCCATCCCGATACCAGTTCACCTCAGGAACTGGGAAACCTACAGAAAAAGGCAGACAAAGGAGATTAAGACATTGTGAAATGCCAGACATAAAAAATTACCAGAATGCACACTCATGTATGCACAGTTATGGTGCAGCATAATGCCATGGGCACAGATGTACATCCACCAAAGGAACTTGTTTTTAGAAACAAAATAACAGATCAATAGAGCCGATGCACTGGCTCCTGTGTTTAGTAAATTACTTGAATAATGAGAAGACTGTAGTGTTTAGCAATCTTATTAAGAAATAGAAGTTCATCAAAATCATGAGGAGGATGATTTAATTCATGTGAGGTATTTTTAAAATGTATTTGGACATATCTGAGTAGGATACTCATATATACATAAGGATAAATATGATTATTGCTAGCATATTTATCCAGTCCAATAGTCTGGAGATAATGTAAAGATCAGTACTTCCAATGAAGCATATGTTCTGCACTACTATGGCTTTAGAAAATGAAATGACAGAAAAAGTGACTGCTGTAGACATTAAAATCAAATGCTAGCAAAGTTTTGGGGAGTTTAATTTCTTTTTCTGGAATTTTTTGAGTTTGGTCAACAGCAGTCATCTGGAATCAACTGCTGTTCACATATATTGTTCTTTTTGTCAGGGTTGTGAGCAAGAGTCTTTGGGTCAGAGAAATTTCAGTTATACCAACAGCTGAATTTTGGTTTTAAATGGTGGTTTTAGATTCCATGCGGAAATTCTCAGAGTGTTCTACTCAGCCAAATTTGTGGAGCGACTTAAATCCATTCAATGAACAAGTAAAATTCTTATATGAAGCACATAAGAACAGGTAATTTAAGGGGATGGTTCCAGCTCTAGATCTTTTTTGTAGTCCTAGAACATAGTTTCTTCAAAATTAAAATCCTTGCACGTTCACTTCATGTATATCTCCAGTCAATCCAAATCACCAGTGGCACTGCATGGGGGCTCAGGGATGAGATCTGAGACTGCATTTACAGATGAATTAATTTTCCCAGTTCTAATGTCTGTGGTTTGGAAAACCCCAGGTGCACAGAATTCTGCTTCCTTTCTAGAGTATCCTTCCTATAAACTGAATAAATTAATAGGGAAGTTAATGTTCCAGGAAAGTGACTGTGTGAGACAAAAGTGAAAGAGAAGATATGTAGATTGAAGCTTTCACTGGTTGACTGCAGACCCATCAGACTTGGCTAGGAAAGTTTAAGATCTTACTCACAATAAAGCACTGATATTTACAGAAATGTAAAACAGAAACACTCATACAGAAAGAGAATGTGGACAGTTTTAGGGAGGATTAGAAATCAAAAGGATACAAGTACATTTAAGTATTGTTAATTTCACAGATGGAAATTATGAAACAGTCCTGATGGTACAATTCAATTTTTTGCTGTTGGTGTAGGGCAATTTGGGCATTATCATCATAAACTTAGGACCCCAGTGATTTCTATCAGATCTATGTCTCCTCAACATTTGTGAAAATTAAAGATGTTTTAAGCTAGGCAACCCCCCAAAACATATCCTCAATAGTGAATTCCTTGAAACATTGTCAGAAGTTTTATTTTCTTGCAGTGGTATTATATGATGATTAGCAAAAATGGGAGTTTCTGTGGCAGATTGAAAAAGACTTGCACTTTTAAAATGGAATCTATTTTGATGGCTCAAACTGCTATGTACAAGGGATCCAGAGCTAGGAACTGTTTTAGAAATCTGAGCCCAAGTTTATATTAAAAACTCGACTCCACAAATTTACTAACACTCTGCTAATCCCAGGTCACAGAGCTAGGTTAGATTTAACTCAGGTTATAGATGTATGTGCCTGGTCTGCATAGAGTAGGGATTTACTTCTACATGTCCCAAATACACTGTGATTCACTGTTAATTTTCAGCACAATCGTTTTTCATTTTAAAACTGTCCTTGAGGGTTTTTTGAACTTTAATACCAAAAAGAAGAAAATCGACCTGAAGTGCCTCAAATTCACCACCTAAGTAATTGAATTCAATAAGATTTTCCTGACAATGATGTGAGAGGGACTTCCAACTTGTGTATGATCTGTGTGCTGCTTTCAAAAATAAGCACCATGTAAAGGCTCTCTTGCACTGGGTAATACCTGAAAATACCAGCTCAAAAAAAAGTAAGCAGTCCACAGGTTAATTCTTCAAGAAGAAATTTAAACTTGATCAGTACTATGGAGACATGAGCTTGGCACAGTTCTAGTGCCAGCAACACTTCTGACTTTCTTGTCTCATGACTCCTCAGTCACTGGTGACCCAGTAGGACCCTGTGACAGTGTCCTGGCTGCTCTGGCATTTGCTGCTTTTAATAACAGGGTTTGTGTGTGTTCTGTGCTTTCTGTTACATGCTGAGTGTACTCATCTGATATCAACCCTCTGTAATGTCACACTTAATTCACAGTCTAATACAGCAGCACAATTAATTTGTTCGAGTTTACATACAGCAAAATTGCATCTCAGGTGGTTGCTAAGATCTTCTTGATACCCTTAGATTAACTGAGCTCTTCACATTTGAACTGTAGCTCTGTATTAATACTTGAATTGTATATAATAGGCCAGTGTTATTAGAGACAGAGAAAAATTCTGATTTTTAAATGCACAATAATTTATAACATGTCAACATTACAGCAGGATAAAGCTATGTAGTCCTTTATTTGTGCAATTAGTTAGAGTAAAAACCCTTTCCTGTTTTTTATGCTGTAGAAAAACTAAATGCCAAGCCACTGTCAGGTCTTTCAAACCTGGAGGATGTTTTTGGCACAGGAAATTTATATCAGAATCTCATAATGTGAAAAAAACCTAACAAGAGGATGACTCACAACTAATTGAGACTAACATACAAATATGGCATATGATATTAGAATATGACCATGCTATTAGAAATACTGCTGTACCTTTTCTTAGTAAGAAATCAAGTTCCCATCCCAAGTACTCCATAATATCACACAAATTAAATCAGCCAAAATCACTCATTGAATAATAATAATACTAGCATCCTAACTTTTTTTTTCTGATGATATTTTTTAGGTATTCATAATAATAGTAAGTATTGTAAAAGCAGATAAAATTTTGATGGAAAATTTACAGTGTAGAAGCAAGAAGAGAAAATCAGGGAAACTAACTGAAGAATAAGGGACAAGTAATAGAACATGGCATGAAAAAATGTGACAGAGGCTGCAGGACATGTTCAAACAGCTTCTGTGAGCCAGTGTTATGCAAAGGGACCAAGGGATGAAATACATGGACCACAGATGTCAGAGATCTTTATAGTTGCACAGATCATGTGTTTGCACCTGTCACAGAGCATCTGAGTAGTGCTTTATGGTATGTGGATCATCACATTGCTAATGCCTGTAAGACAATATAATTCCAGAAGCAGGAACACATGTCATTTCTCCTTAGTCACTGCCGAGGTCAGAGACACTCTTAGAACAGGGTGTTGGGTCTCCAGTAACGTTATCTCAGGTGTTTTGCACAAGATAGGGTGTTTGAGTAGTATGTAGACTGGAGAAATCAAGTAACCTTTAAGTTGTGTGGTATCTTTAAATTGCATAGGTAACTTAAATTATATTAATCCAGCCTTGTACTACCATCATGATGAATACATCAATTGTTTATCATACTAGGGTTTTCTACCCTCTTCAGTGGCCAGTTGGGCCTAGATTTTGTGCTTTTAATCGCCTCCTAGAACTCTGGAATTAACAGCAGAGAAAGTAGATATACACTTTAGCTAAAGCTTAACAAAAGGTTTTGGAAGAACTAGCATAAACCTTGTTTTTTGCACCCTGACTTCTGATTCTGCCCAGTCATGATCCAGGTGAGATTATTGTTTCTGCAGCCACATGAAGTTCCCTTATTAGCACAGTATATATTTTTCTGCATATACATTTAAAGGTGTTGTTCAGCACTGTATGATACAGATATATGTCCATACTTCAGCACTCATCTTTACACGTTCATACCAGATTATGATCTATGAAAAGTGTCATAATTTCTTAGCATAAACATTAGAAAAGAAATTAGTGATAAACTATAACAAATCTTGGAAAAATGAATCAAAACCTTACCACTAATGTGAGCCTCAAAGGTTGCGGCACTACCCTCCAGTGCCACAACACTTTGTAACGGCTGTGTAAATGTTGGTGCTTTCGTCGTCATCTTTACAGGCACTCTGCAAGCAAAAAAAACCTCATCATTAGATATCAATGGTGAAAATGCTATTGTATCTGCACTGTTCTTGTAATTTTTCTCTGAACAATTTGCTTTCCACGGTTTTAAATCAGAATGACCTGGTGAAATTAAAAAGTTGTGGATTTTTACAAAGTTGTATAGCAAATTACTCTTGGAGCGTGTTTGCCTGAATTGGATGGGAAACCATTATATTAAGTGGAGCTGTGCTTTGGCATTGCAAGTATGCAGCAGGAGACAGAATTGTGCTTGACTCACTGTGTGACCTTCCACAGGTCATTCAGGCTGCCTCTCTTTGTCTATTAACTTTTTTATCTGACAGGAAACAAATTCCTTGTATAAATTTTAAAAATATCTTTTATATCTGGTGCAAAAATATTTGTATTCTTCAATGACAAGACAACTAGGTCACTAAGAAGCAAATCAAAGAAATGTGAAAGCCTACAATATATTTAGCTTAATAATGAAAATAATGCATAATTAATAAATTAATAATAAACAATAATAGTGAATATTGCATTATTAATAATAAAATAATGCCAAAAATGCCAAGAGACTCTATTTTAAAAGCACTCTGTAAGTGAAATTATTCACTTTACAGAAGCATATTGGGATTAAAGATGCAGATAAAATTCTCCTCTTTCTTAGAGAGTATCTCAGTGGAATTTTGAATATGGGAAGACAGCCACCTTCGAAATGTGAGCTAGGATATAAAGTAGCCACTGACACTGATGGCTTGAACAACTGCAAAGCCATGTGAAATCTGAAAGAAAGTTTGTTTTCTCTTGCTATGCCACAAGATTCTGCTTTGAAATAACACTAGAAAACTGCCACTAAAAACTGCCACTAGAAAAGCTTGTGTGTTGATATTTTATATTTGCATGACTTATTTATTTACTGATGTTGAATTGTGCAGTTTTTAAAAAGGTAGCCATTATCTTCCTAATATTATCATACATTCATTAAAGTTACATTTTTTCTCATTAAAAACTTCCACTGAGGGCATATCTGGTCTCAACATACTGGGGTTAACCCCACAATATTTCAAGCCAATCTTATTCATATATTTACTTACTTCCATTTGCTTTGGCTTTTTTGCCTGATTTTATGACAGTCCCAAGCTTAAATTAAAAATGAGAAAGTGAAGTTTCTTTCACTACAAGTCAAATTTATTTCACCTCTCATAGGGATGAAAATTCTTCATTACATGGGTTCCTACATAGAAATCAGGGCCTGATGCATACATGCAATAAGGGCAGAACTGGATATTGTATTGGGATTTTCTTGTTCAGTTATGACAATGTTTTGAAGCTCAGCTAAAATAAAAGGAATAATTTTACAATAAAATTAAATATTATGAAAGCTCATATATATATATATAGTTTCCAGAAGAGATCAGGAATAATTTAATTAAGAATTTCCACTGAGTTGCCACAAAGTTTCTATATTTCATTGTCCAAGCAAATTCTGGCGATGAGGATCTGATCTTATAAGGCTTCTTGTATAATTAGAATTGAAAGTATGCATCTAAAATGTCATGTTCCAGAAATAACCTTTGCAGCCATGAATGACAGCAGACAAGTGTTCCAGAGCTGCCGTGTAAGTGATACCTTAGCAGTTGTTTCCCTTAAAAAGTCATCAGCGCTTAGCTGATACCATGTGCATTTTATCAGAGCTATTCTTGGAGCTTCTCAGTTTATCTCTCAGCAGCATAACCTTGAACACTCCCAACAGAAAGGAGTTTTAAAGTTAAGCACATGTTTCCATGCACTTTTAAAGTCCTAATTTATGTAGTCTTTAGCAATAAAATATGCTGGAAAAAACCTTTTTGCTGAGAGTTATCAAAGTTTACTCCAGAAATTAAAGCTATAACCTTGACAGAGAATTGAAGTGTTTCACGCCTATACCCTGAAATCTACAACCCCCTGAGAGAAAATTTATAAATAATAGATTGTATCAGAATTATTAATGACTGATAAAACACTTATTACACCAGCAGAAACATGCTACTAACCTGATCTCTCAAAGTGCCTGCAAGAGTGGGCTAAGCCCAACGAAATCTTCTTGAACGACGTCCTTATCCAGAGTAAGATTTTTTTAGACAATCCCAGCATGAGAATTGAAGAGCCTCTAATCATAAAAACAAAACTACACAGTCTTGACAGTGTAGTTTTGTTTTTTTGCAATCCCTACACCCGAGGCGAGGCGGGGAATGCACGACTGCTCAGAAGTGCTAACATAGTTGTTTCGCTTTATATACCCCAGCTCTGCTGACAGGTCTGCCTCATCATGTCAGTGCCGGTTCTGATTGGTTTCTTGAAAGAAAGTATCTTGTGAGAGGGGATTCACTCTCTGTAACCATACACCACCTGTTGGTCCTGATTGACAATGCTAATTTTGGAGGCACAAAAGGGATTCACTGAGGAAACCTCAGCCGTTCCAAAGCTTTTGATTTATAATTCGATTTAGTTTACCAAGTGCAGTTTACATTGCAAATTTCCTAATTCATAATCACAAGACAAAGAAAGCAATAAAAAGCATTTTAGCAGGGCATATGGACAAGTCAGAAGTCATCATATCAGTGAGATTCAGTCTTTCTTTCTTTATAAAACATCCAAGAAGCCATACCAAATGCATATGTCAATCACCAGACTAAATAAGTAAGCTGAGCTCAGACAAGTGGCTGCACACTATTAGAATACACCATTTGAACTACTTTTTTCCCATAACTTTGAATTCTAAAATTGTGTTTGGCAATATATAGATTTGGTGCTCTAGGGCTGTTTTTGTTTCCTTCACAGTTTTTCTGCTGTTTGTTCCAAGCGGTTAAGCATAACAAACAGTAGCATACAATTCACAGAAACACGAATTTTGTGAAATTGAAATAGACAAATACTGTCATTTTTAAAGAAAATATTAAGTCTCACAGCTTTTTTCCAGACCTGTGTGGGCCTTGTGCAGACCTCAGACCATGGAACAGCATATTGGTTTGTGAGCTTCCACTAGCCCAGCTTTGCCACTATGCAGCTAATTATGCCTTTAGAGTGGCTGCTTCTGAAACAGACATCAGTTAGAAGACTACTCTTGTTTTACCACACCACCTCATCTGCCTGTTCTATTCCTGCCTCTCTACCAAAATATTTAGGCACATAACTGGCACATAAGACTACTTAAAATTCCTTGCTTAAAATCAAGCATGTGCTTAGATTGGTTTGGTAAAAGGAGGACTTCAGTCTGCAGTTACCAAGTTCCACACTGACAAGGACCTCTCTGAGAACACCCAAATATGTAAACACAGACTGGAGTTTTGTACTAACAGCTGCACTTGTGCTTGAAAACAACCTGAAGGAAATCTCCAGCAAGAGAGGCAGAAAACGCCAAGGGGAGAGAGAGGAAGAGTTTCTCTGCTACAATTCCTGCAAGGGAGTGTTATTGTTTGCTGATCTGAAAGAAGTAAGAAATGACATTTTGCTGTGATCTCATAAAATAACTTCAGAAATTTGATCTGTCCTTTAACTTATCCATCCCATAATGTGGCAACTTCATGGCTGCTCTTGGCATGCAGCAGTATCAACAGCAGCACAAACTGGAGGAACAGTCTCTACACTGGTACTACCTGAACTCCCACAGCAGCTGAAAGTCAGAGAACTACAGCTCATTTTTAATTTCTTCTCACAAACAGATTTCAGTGAGCCTAATCCCTCTGTACAAGACTTAGCATGACAGCAAATGCAACTCTATGCAGTGAGGGGCAGCTCAAGCTAGCTTGTATTAAAAGACGTAAAATGTCCAAAGAAACTTATGTAAAGGGTTAAAATTTCTATTTCTAAACAGAGGCTTGCTAAATTAGCAGACAGATATTTTTCTCTGTAGTTAAACACTTAAATAGTGAAAAATCAAACTTGAAGAAAATACAGGCTAATATTTCCAAACTTAAAAAATGCAGCCAGTTTTATGATGATATATAAATCAAACAAAAAATTAAAAAGTTTATGAACATATGATAATTTTTAAATTACAGAAATATAAAACCCGTCACATCTGAAGTTCTGAGATAGTCAGAAGTTAGACGTATATGTTTCTATTTCATCAAGTCAACAATGACTGATAACAATAATAGTTACAATGGAAAAAAAATCCTGCATTCAAATACAAATGCATTGTATTTTTAAAATAAGTTCCTTCTTTTTTAGCTTTTACATTTGCTTTTAAACATCTGTTTCCACTCCAACAAAAGTCTGCACCTTCTCAGTTTTTTACTTTAAATACAAAAATACAGAACAGTGGAATATTTATCTCATGTTCTCAAGGAAATACGAATTATTTATCCTGCATGCCTTCTGTCACATCGATATCACATGATTTCTACATGTTTAGTGTCACACAAGAAAAACCAGAAGAACGTCTTCAGTCTTATTGTGTAGCTAAGACACTGCTGGTAAAAGTGGCATTATTTCTTTGCTCCAGCATCAAACAAAAAATCCAGATAATGAAAAAGACTTTTTTTTTTTTTTCCAGGGAGACTTTTAAATTGGGGATAGTTACGAAAATTTCAACATCTGCCTCAGTCTGCTACTGCTTGAAGTATAAACTCTATATTGGCAACATTTAGTACGTCATACATTGTAGGCCACAACACATTTAAGGTGTAACAGGTGATATTTAACACAGTGAAACATTGTGGTGGGGACACCTGCAATCTCTTTGTGTGATTCACTTTGATTAACTGTAATAATCCTAATGACTTGATCAGTGGAACTGCTGCAGTAGGCCCACATGAAGATTCCTTGAAAGCTGAACACTCTAGTCAGAGCTTAAAGACAAAATTCATTCTTCTTGAACACTAAAAATTTCAAAGTTCCACATAAGCAAGTTTTTACTGTGATTTTTAAAGAGCAATCTCTTAATACTTTTTTTAAAAATTCACAGTCTTTTCTTTTGCTCATTATTTCCACTACTGTTGTACTATCAGTGTACTCTGCAGTAGCTGCACAGCCAATGTAGGATGGTCCCTTGGTCTAGCTACAAATGCCAATTTGCAAACTGTGTAAAAAGAATTAGTACCTTTCCTATTCCCTTCTCTCCTTCCATTTTTTTCCGTCTCCCTTACTTCCATTCATTCCTATAAAACAACTATAATATCTCCTTTCATTTACTATTTTCATTTTACTCTCTCCTCCAATCAACTATTTGAACCAAGAGAGTCGTGAAATGAAACTTCACATAAAACTTCTCACTGAAAAAATGCTGTCCTATGTCCTTACAGAACTGACAAATCAGAACCCAAAATATATTCATATATTATATTCTTGCTGAATTTCCAGTTTTCCAAGTATACTTTAGAAAAAAAATTACTTCCCCTTCTCCCACCCAATTTCTTTAAAATTCAAGAAAACTAAAAAATTCTTAACTGTTAAACCACTAAATCCTGACTTAAAATCAAATTACATTTCCACCACCCTTATCAATTTTTCTTTCCCTGCTAATACTGCAAACAGTACTTTGTAACAAAAACTTTATAACCTTAAATACAGGCTATAAATTGCATTATATACACAAGAATATCCATGTTTGTCTGCTGCAGCTGGCTTTTGAAAGGCTGCTGCCTTTTCAGGTGCTTGTGATTCCTATCTGAGCCACTGTAATTGAATATGCAAGATACATCAACCTTTTTCAATGCAAACTAGAGCCTGCTTGCAAAATATTTTTACTGAAGAAGGTGCTGTCAATTGCTTCCAAAGTAGAAAACAAAACTAAGGCACTAAGCAAGTTTTGAAATTACTTTATCTGTTTCATATGGGAACAGGTTACTGGAAACTATTCATTATAATGGTTCCTGTTCACTAACTTCATGTTGAGGGGAGTTACTTATATTATCTCCTTCGAAATACCTAGAAGGAAATTTATAGATGTCACTTTTGACAAGTTTTCCTTGTATATTATTTTTTATGCATCATCCTCATGCATTTACATATGTGGAACAAGGAAGAAAGAAAAACACTTACCTTCTCAGCACTTCACTTTAGAGAGCAGGCCCTGCTACCAAAGCCTGGCCCCTGAGTAAAGAATATACTTATTAAGTGTTCCGTTTCCTTCAACAAAACAGTATTTAACATCATTTTGCTGGGGACAAGTTTTATCTAACATTTAGGCTGTCCTTAGCATTTAATAAATGCATATTTTTCATCAATTTTGGAAACCTTTTAATAAATCTATGGACATCTATGATTTGTAAAGTGAAAAGAAACAAGAATACCATTTTTCATAATAGAGCCACTCTCTGGGAACAGTTGGAGCAATAGCTGTGTTGCTCATTGGCAAGAGAAGGTTGATAGATTTTCATTTATTTATAAACATCATTTTCTACTATTTTGTAAGAAAACCATGAGTAAGAACAGATACACAGATTTCTGGTTTGCCCCATGTACTATTTAAAGAAGCATTGACACTTTTTTTTCCTGAGTTATGTTTTGTGAATCAGGGGGAAAAAAACCCTCAAATATACATTTCTTCCTATAGTCTATCAATCAAGTAAAAGCAAAAAGAACCAAATAGTTTAAATTTGATGAGCATCCAAGATCAGCAAGCACTGAATTCTACACTTTCATTTTTACAGAATGAACTTCTAAATAGGAAACCATATATGCCATACTAAAATGTTCCAGCTGAGAAAGGAACATTAATTTTAGGGGGTTTATAATTTGGGGGGAAGAAGGGGATGGACAGCTTATATGTACTTTTTCATTCCTCTGAATTTGAGTACAGTTAGAAACACAGTATTTTCTGAGACAATCCTAAATCTAAATAGCACACACAAAGGGCTTAGCTGGAAAAGGTAATTGCATAGGATCCATGAGATGTTTGACACTTGTCTCCATAGCATTTTGGAAAAATCTGTGAAAGATACAGGGCAAATATGCAGAGCAAGTACCTCAGTCTGCAGCTACTATATTTATGTGCACATATACATAGCCTTGTGACTCCTCTGCAGGCAGGATGCCACTGACTTTTCCATAACGTCAAGCAAGTGATTTATGTGATCAGGTGAAGACATGTACATGATATTTTTTTTCCAGCTCATTTCCTCTCTGCCTGTACTTCAACTTGGAGATAAATTTGTTTCTGCTATTCAGCCTGCACCTTGATGGAGAAAAATGTCTAATGTTTTAATATTACAATTTAAGCAATTCTTAAATATGTTATTTCAGTGCCAATTTTGCACAGAT